GAGAAAAAATGTTTGAAAAATCCACGTTTCTTGGTCCGATGGTCCTTGAGAAAAAATGTTTGAAAAATCCACGTTTTTTGGTCCGATGGTCCTTGAGAAAAAATGTTTAAAAAATCCACGTTTCTTGGTCCGATGGTCCTTGAGAAAAAATGTTTAAAAAATCCACGTTTCTTGGTCCGATATTCCTTGAGAAAAAATGTTTAAAAAATCCAAGTTTTTTGGTCCGATGGTCGTTGAGAAAAAATGTTTGAAAAATCCACGTTTCTTGGTCCGATGGTCCTTGACAATTTTTTTTTTAGAAATCCACGTTTCTTGGTCCGATGGTCGTTGAGAAAAAATGTTTGAAAAATCCACGTTTCTTGGTCCGATGGTCCTTGAGAAAAAATGTTTAAAAAATCCACGTTTCTTGGTCCGATGGTCCTTGAGAAAAAATGTTTAAAAAATCCACGTTTATTGGTCCGATGGTCGTTAAGAAATATAATCTGCTGGATTTCCATGTAAGTAAAGGCTATGTCATAGATCCCTGCCCAGATGTCACCCTTAGGTTTTTGAGAATATTTGCCCAGTATTTACGCATTCCGACGTGTTGTTAGGTATTCAAAAAATTTCACACGAAAGTTGTAGTCCATTTTACACAAAAGTCAATGGTCATCCAAAATGCTAGACTTCTTCCCTGTCCTTAACCCTCTCCGCATGCACAATTCTGAACGAATAAAACCAAAAGTTTTAATTTTGACCCTAACTGAATTCTTATTTCGCCGGAAATGAAAATATTTGCGCTTTAGTGGAAATTTTCGTATTTTGTGACATAAAAGTAAAAGTTTACTTTACCCGCTAAATATGTTCCGATGACCAAATTGGTATATTTCTGTCCAGGTCTAAACTCTAACTCCATGCAGAATTCCGCGTCGATTAGGTTATAATTGTGACCTATAGAGGAAGAGAAAAATAAGGAAAATTGTATGTTTTTGGTCGATTTCAACCCCTAAATATTTTGCGATCATCTCCAAAAACAGTAGATTTATATACTGACCCTAAACTCACCTCCATTTTTAATTTCGTGAGGATCGGACCATAATTGCGACCTGTGGAGTGATTACAAATTAACATGGACAGACAGACGGGCATACGTAGCTAGATCGACTCAGATCGGCGAGATAAGAAGATCTATATATAGATATAAATATAGATATAGAAGATATAAATATAGTTTCCTATGTCGGAAACCATTATTACGAGGTGTTACATAATTTCTGGTCAATCGAACTTATAATACCCCCTAATTATATAAATACAATTCTGAAAGTATAGCTACAAATAGAAGACAAGCGTAACGGTGTTTAACAACGAAATGTTGGAAAGAATAAACAAATTAAATTCCTCCAGTACATTGAAGATCTGTTATGCAAGAATGCATTTTTTTCTCCTTACAAAATCTCCATAGCGCTATGAAAACCTTAATAACCAACAGTAGCGTATAAATTTCTATTCAAAATTATGTAAAAATATTTGCACTTTTCATTTCATTGAACTTGCAGTGATGTGGAAATAACAATTTATTTTAATTCATTCAACATTCGCTGATGATTATACTAATTAATCCATTTAGAAATGAATCGCATAAATAAAAAGGCTTGAAAAAATCATATAATTTTCAATTATTAACCAATTCAAAAACAGATTCAAAAAAATGAAAGAGAATTTTGAATTATTTCCCCCCAACACCTCCTTGTAATAAATCTTTAGTTCATTTTTAGGTTTATTATTTCAAAAAAGAAACTACATTCCGTCAGCTATTAGTGAAAATGACATTAATCATTATCAGATTGCAGTTGCATTGCATCTCTCACCCTCCCCACTCCTATGAATGTGTCTCCCCCAACACATCAAAGTATTCCCATGTAATCCGCACCCCACCAGCCTTAAGTGCCTTCCATAGCTGTTCAAATGGCAAAAGCAATGATGAATAATTAATTAATCCATTATGCAATAATTTTCAACAGAGATGTTGTTTGTGTTGTTGTTGTCTTTTTTGTGTTTCGTGTAACAATAAATACTTGCATAATCGTGCACTTTTTGCATAAATAATTTATAAGTTCAAACTCCCCAGTGTCGAGGAGATTAGAAATCATTTGAGTTGACTATTGTTTAACGTTCATTTTTTATAACTTAGTGATTTATTTCTTGTAACGAAATATTCCATTCAATTAATTAACTATTAAATATGCTTTTTGAAGGGTGTGAGGGAGCTGGGAGTGTTGTAAGTAGAATAAAGTTGGATTTTATCAATTAATATTTATAAAGTCAATGACAATGCAGGTGGTTTGTTTTAATCCATACATACTCAAAGCGGATAGACCACTAATTGGTTAATACAGAAGACAGGACGTTCTTGAAAGAGTATAAAGTATAAAAAACCATAAAAAATACTTTTTGCATGAAGTCCAGGAAATCTTAAATATATCCTCCTTAAAAAAATACTATTAAAAGATATATGATTTTTTCAGAGAGCATTAGTAGAAATTCTCATGACACCAGCACCTAAGGCTGGATTCTTGTTCTATGAAAATATGAAATGAAAAGTATTTCCTTTATAAAATTTTTCATTTGACATTTCTTTCCTTTATAAAAATTTTAATTTCATAGAACAAAAATTGAGGCTCCGGTCTCCCAAAAAATGTCAGCAATTCCAAATTAAGCTTTTTTGTACCTACAATAATCTATGGTTTATCCAATTGAGATTATTTTATTTTAATTAGGTTATGACACAAAAAAAGGCGAACAAAAAATTTTAAGAAGGTAAGGGGATGGAAAATAAAAGTTAAAAAAAAATTAAAATTATAAATTGCAGATGTTTGTTTTCCTGAGATGATAAAATTTTCAATCTTTTCGAACTTGGGGAAAAATTAAAAAAAATATGGCGCCCAACGTAAAACCACAATTGCTCAAATAATAAGTTTGTTTTTTTTTCTTTTTGACCGGGGGAACTTTTCCTATATATACAGGGTGAAATGAAAAAACTGCAACCAACTTCAGACTACTGTCATTTCAAAGCCACTCGTCCGACAGCTGTTAAAATAATTCCAGTGACAGCTCATTATATGGTTTACAGGCGTACAAAAGCATTTTGTTGGGAATTTTCCAGAAAAAAAGTTATTCGCTATGGAATTCAAGCGTGATAGTGTGATTTCTTTATATTTGGCTGGAGAACCACAAGTGACTATCGCTGGAGCATTCCAGCATTTAAATGTGAATAAAACTTTTGCGTCTCGTACGATCGCTTGTTACCGTGATACTGGTAGCGTAGCCCGACGTCAAGGAAATGTACGAAAAAAAAACAGCAACATCAGCAGAATTGGTTTGAAAAGTAAAGAAGCGAATTGATCAAAATCCCCCTTCACAGTGGCTGAAAAATGGCTCGTGAGCGCAACATATCGCAATATTCGGCAATTCGGCAGATATTGAAAAACGAGCTCGGGGTATAGCCATTGAAATTCCAAAAAGTATAAGAACTTACACCGCGACTGAAAGAAAATAGACTCAAAAGAGCTAAAGAGTTGCTTCGCTTGGCTGAAAGTGGTAAACTGCCGAATTTGGTTTTCTCCGATGAGAAAACATTCATTGTCCAGCAGTTTGTAAACAAACAAAATTATCGTGTTAATTTACTAAAGAGCTCAGCTGAAAATCTGCATCTTCGGTTGGCCACCAGAACTCAAGCGCCGGCCATGGTGATAGTGTGGGCCGCCATAACTGCCGATAGTTGTTCTCCGCTTGTATTAATCGACCGTGGCATCAGAATAAATGCCGTATATTCCGATTATTGCAAAAATATTCTGAAGGGTGTATTAAAGCCTTGGGCACACAAACATTTTGGCCGCATACCTTCGACAATCCAACAGGACTCAGCACCATCGCACTCAGAACGCGCCACCCAAGAATGGTTACAAAATGAGGTTCCTCGATTCATTTTCAGCGCAAAATGGCCACCAAAATCTCCGGATATCAATCCGTTGGACCATTGTATCTTGAGTATTTTGGAAAGCAAGGTTTGCACTAAAAAATACCAAAATATCGATTACCTCAAGCAAGCGCTTCGCCGGGAATGGGCCAAAATACCGTAGAGCAACATTCGGGCAGCGTTTGATTGTTTGATTGACCGCTTGAAGTGCTAAAGGTGACCAATTCGAACAAATCGAAACTTATTATAAAATTTGATGCTATTTCCGATTTTTTTTTTTTTTTGCTTTCATTCAAAAAAATTTTAAAAAAAAATTAAAAATTATGGCACTTGACTTTGTTGCAGTTTTTTATCTCACCCTGTAAATACTAAATTCTTTAATAGAATATTTCGACTTTTTAAGCATTAAAAGACCCAAAAGGCTCTCTAGGGTTAAAGTTTTCGACCAAAAAAAATTCGTGTTGCTATCAATAATATTACCCATGACACCATATCCCTAAAATACAAGGATTCCAAGATTCCTTGGATCTTAATTCGAAAATTTAAAAAAATAATCAAGAGAGATAAGTTTGGCTTTGCGATGTAAACTTTCAAAACGCAGACAAATGTGTCTTCAATTTTTTTTGCTCTGCTTTCATAATTTGCAAGATTTTCCGAGCTCAAATAAGAGGTATGAGAACCTTCGTCTAATTTTTGGGAGATTTTTGTAAAACCTTGTTCATCGAACCTCCCCCAAACCAATTATTCCTACACAATCCAACACGTGTTTCAGGGAAGTTAAATTTTCCCAACACAAAAAACATTTTTACGACCTAAATCGACAGGCCGTGAAGTACTTAAACATGTTTGATATCGAACGGTAACATTTACACAACTCACAACATTCTAAGCTCTCTCTCTAATAAACCCACCCCTCCCACCCCTCCTTGTCGAGCTAACAAAGTGCCACCAGTTGCTCCAGACATGCCACCAACCCTCTAAACCGATTACAATGCGGTGCTCAGGACAACGGTGGTTGCCTGGTAACCGGTAGCAACCAAGGGTGGTGTACAAAGGCACAAGAAAGGAATTGCTGGACAATCGAAGAAATGAAACGCAAAGGTCTTATTTGCTTAGAACGTATTCGAGAGACGTGGTCAATTTAAGGAAAGCAAATCACAAAAATACTTGAAAATGTCCTTTAAGGAGGTTAGGGGTGAGTGAGAGTATTTTAAAATTGCAATTTTTGGTTAATAATAAAAATTGCGCTCCCCCTAGATTTGGCTGAGCATTTGAAATTGTTGGGCTATCCCCAGACGTTTCCCCTGCAGGCCCTTTCCTCAAATTTCGGCTGTTTGGCCTCCTTTTATGTTGTGGCTGATGTTCTGCAGTGGCTTGCAGGGCTCTTGGAACCTGGAGCCATTCTACCTGGAGGTATTACCAACCAAGATGATCGAGTTCTGTTGATACGCTCCGCCACGGAGTTCTTTGTTACCAAATCTGCCATCAAATTGAATCCTCGCAAGCTATATGCTGCCTCAGCTGTGACAGCTGGAGAATTACAAAAAATCACCCGTTTACTGATAACCCCAGCGTCCAATGAGGATGGCGATGAAGAGGAGGATAATTATCGTAGCCTTAATCAAGTGGATATTGGGGATAAAATTGAAGATTTACGTCGTGCCAGAGAACTCTCCTCGGATTTAACTCAACGAGGAGCGGTGCTCTATGAACTACTGCAGAAAGAGATGAATAACAAAGAGGCTCGTTTGGCCCAGGCCAATAGGCCCATGGAGCTGGCTTCGGTGGAGAGAACTTTGAAGAATGCCGTAGCCTCTGCCCAGGTTAAGTTGCAAGCGAACAGAGCTCAATTGGAAAATGCCCGAGTGGAGCTGAATGCCCTGCACTCAAAGTTGCAAAGGAAAAAGGCCGAGTTGGAAAGAACCAAGCAGCGTTTGGAGGCTTTGCAGAAAATTCGCCCGGCTCACATGCAGGAATTCGAGGAATATGAAAAGGAACTGAAGAACCTTTTCCAGCAGTACTTTCTGCGCCTGCACATACGCGATGCCTTGCGAGCCCAATTTGAGGCCCGTACCAAACGCTCCTCGCCCATTTCATCGCCGCTGTTGCAAAAGGCCAATGAAAATTCAATGCCTTTCATACCGGAAGGCCTGCTGGCCGATGATGATGAAGATTTGGATGATGATGAGCCACGTTTAGAGGGCAACTCTGGCTTGGAAAATGACATACCAGATGAGATGCAGAGAAATGCAAAAACTTCAACGGCATCCAATAAAAGACCTGGCACCGCCACATCACGTATGCGTCCCACAACTGGTCGTGGGCGTAAGGGTACGGCCCTCATGAATGCCGCCGCTGCTGCCAGAAATGATAACTCAGCCGAATCAGCGAGTCAAGATGTTGAAAATGATAGTTCCTTTGGTAGTTCGGATAGCGACTTTGATATGGCCGAACTTTTGGGCATTAGCACAAATGCTGCCGGTGGAGCGGTTGTGGGTAACAATGATGACCTTGGAGATGATGATTGTATGTTGGCGATGGAATGGAAAATATCTTTTATTTATTTGCTTTCTTTTTCACTTTTCAGTTGATTTGAACTCCATGGACAGTATTAGCATTTCGAAAATCACCGGAGAGTTGCAAGTCCGTCCCAAGACTGCTGTCAAACCGGAAACCCACAGTGATGAAGATTTTTAAATGAGACTAGAGAAAATTCAATTTATCATCAGTAATTATATATTTTGAGACATTGCCTTTTTAATAAACAGGATATTTGAAATCCTTTAAATACCCTAAAGAGATCCCTGTGTGATGATATGGAGAAATTACAAAATTTTGATTGTATCTCCTTTAAAACATTAGAAAATCAAAGGACAAGTAAAAAAGGCACTTTAGTTCGGTCGGGCCAAACTTTTAATACCCTCCACCATTTGGAAGAAACTGGAAAAATTAAAAAAAAAATCTACGAATAATTCGGGCTAAATTAAACCTCAAATAATAAAATTCCGGTCTCCATAATCATCAAAATACCGAATAAAGAGAGGTACCGTTATATGTGAACTGTATAAAGACGTAGACGTGGAAGACGTAGACAATTTTTCGTCATAGGTTCAAATACTTCAAATACGAAATTTAAAAAAAATCCGAGGAAAAATCTGGCTAAATTCTTAATCTTAACAAAATAATGAATCTTGGTAGGTCAAAATATTTGGGACCTATACGAAGACACGGACCTGCATAAGTAATTTTTTTCATAGGCTGTAGTACCCATTAATATCTTCAAATACGAAATTTGAGACAATTCCGGTAAAAAATGTCGCTAAATTGGAAAGTACCGTTGTATGGGGCTATATGAAAACATTGGCCGACATGGCTCATTTACGAACTTAACCTACCTAGGGGCAAAATACACATGTGTGGAAAATTTTAGTCTTCTATCTCAATTTGTTCAAAAGATAGCGTGATTACAACAGGCAGACAGGCTGATGGATAGAAATACACACAGACAGACATACAGACAGACATCCCTAAAGCGTCTTAGAATTTCACCCTGATTCATAAAATATATACTTGTAGGGTCCATCATGAATATTTCGAGGAGTTAGAGGGTATAATAATACTAAAACGTGAAAACTGCTTGAAATCGGGCTTAATCCTTACAGTCCGTATATAAGGGTCAACCCCGATTTCAAGCAGTTTTCACATTTTAGTATTATTATACCCTCTAACTCCTCGAAATATTCATGAAAGACACCCGAAAGTGGACCAGTATGATCCATTTTTGAACCAACGATTCTTTCCACACCACAAGTTCTTAAGATTCGAATGAGAAATTCATCTGCGATTTTTTCAAGCTCTAACTTCCAAATATTAATACCAAACTAAAATCAAATGCGAAAAAGATACGTTAGGTATTATAGTTTGAACTAATAAAAATGCCGATATTGTTTTGTTAAGTACGTACGTGTTGGCAGTATTAAGTAAACTTAATGTTTTCAAAAGCTTACCAAAAGCTTTTCATAACAAAGCTATGGGTTCAATGCCAAACTACTGACTACTTTCAATTAAATGTAGATGGCATCCAAAAACAAAATGGACTTAGTAAAAAATTAAGAACCTAGTTCATGCATCACTTTTTTTCCTTTACTTTACTTTAAATCTCAAAAACATGCAGTAATGATGCTTCAAATAGGTATTACTTTCATTTAGTTCCTCCCCTGATCCTCTTCTGATTCATTAAGTGCCTCCACTCAATACTAAATTGAGTAACATTAAGTACTTTTCGTACAATTATTGTACACATTTCCAAAAACACATCCGTATCTCAATCCCAGATACCAACAGAGACCTCAATATCCAATTTCGGGACTCCAACTCTAACCCTTCACACAATACTTAATTTAGTACTTTTTGTGCAATTATAGTACCGATTTTCAAAACCACCTCCATATCTCAATCGCAGATACCTACAGAAAACTCAATATCAAATTCACACAAATAGGAGGCATTTCCAAAGCAACACGGAATTTCAAACACAGATACCACCAGGAATACAAATATTAAATTTTAGAATTGTATCCTTCACCCAATACCAAATATAGTACCATTTAGTACTTATCGTACAATTATAGTACACATTTCCGAAACTACCTCCATATGTCGTAGCTACACATAAACATCGGTCTTAATACCAAATTTCAGATTTCAAACACTATCTGTTCAACAAATACCAAATATAGAACTATTTAGAACTTTTTGCCAAGAACAATACCAAGCGGTACCATTTTAAAAGTTTAATGAAATTTTACAACTTTTTGTAACCTTAAGGTTCGAATTTCCAAAAAAAAAACTTTTTTTATATATAACCTACCTTCTATTAGTGACTCTCATTCCAAATTTGAGCATTCTAGATCGTGCCCTTTTTCCAATAGAAAGTGAAATTTTGACCATTAGTGGCCGAGGGAAGAACAAGTTAAAAAGTAGTAAGGCCGAACTTTGAATACCCTCCACCATTTGAAACGAATTTGAAAATTTTCAAAAAATATAATCTGTTAAAAATTCTGTTAAAGTTTTAAAAATACCGAATATAGCCGTTATATTGGGGTCTACATGGGCATTGTTTGTCATAAGCCGTTACCATATTCGAATTCGAAACTTGAAATAAACGTTGAATAATGTAGCTAAAATCATTAAAATACCGTATATAGGGAGGTATCGTTATATCGGAGCTATACGAAGACCTGGACCTGCAAAGACAATTTTCTGTCATAGGCTGTAGAATCTATTACGATCTTCAAATACGACATCTCAAACAATTTCGGTGAGTATTGCACCTAAAATCGTCAAAATACCGAATATAGGGAGGTACTGATATATGGGGCCTAAACGAAGACCTGGACCTGCATAGACAATTTTCTGTCACAGACTGTAGATCCCATTAGATATTCAAAAAACGTAATTTGAAACAATTCCGGTAAACAATGACGATAAAATCATCAAAATACCGAATATTGAGAGGTACCGTTATATGGGGGCTATACGAAGACGTGGACCTGCACAGTAAATTTTCTGTCTTAGGCTGAAGTATCCCTTTCGAACTTCAAATACCAAATTTGAAACAATTCCGGTGAATAATGTCGCTAAAATCATCAAAATACCGAATATCGGGAGGTGCCGTTATATGGGAGTTATACGAAGACGTGGACCTACGTGGCCCATTTACGAACTTAACCTGCCTACTAGAAAAATAAACATGTGCAAAATTTTAGCCTTCTATCTCTATTCGTGCGATAGCGTGATTACAACAGACAGACGGACAGACAGATAGATAGACAGACAGATCAAGAATATATATACTTTGTTGGGTCTGACATGAGTATTTCGAGGAGTTACAAACGGAATGACAAAGTTAATATACCCTCCATAGTATGGTGGAGGGTATAAAAAGAATGGGTCAATATTTTCCATTTTCGCACCTGACATAAATCTGATTTAAATGTTCCAAATTTGGATTTTCTCGACTTCTACATTCCTTTCATTTGAGACATATTTTGATCTTAAAATGTTAAACTTTAGTGTAAAAAGTGAGCCCATCTTTTTGTCGTTGTAATATTGAGAAATAAAAATTTTAGAGAGAAACTGAGAATCATTTCATGTCCTAAGAGAGCTACGTATTTTGGAACCCAAATCTATTATTTTTTACGTTCTTTGCGTTTTTATACCCTCCACCATAGTATGAAAGATATATTAAGTTCGTCATTCCATTTGTCATTCCACCTTGAAATATACATTTTAGACCCCACCAAAGTATATATATTCTTGAACAGCATAAAATTCTATGAAATATCCGTCTACAGCCGGTGACGGAAAATTGGCTATGCAGGTCCGCGTCTTTGTATAGCCTCCTTATAACGATACCTCTCTATATCCGGTATTTTGATGCTTTTAGTGACATTATTCACCAGAATTTTTTCAAATTTACTACAGCCTATGACAAAATATTGCTTATGCAGCACACGTCTTTGTATAGCTTTCGGCGATTTTTTTTAACTTTTAAGTTCCTTCCGAATAATGGAGGGTATAAAAAGTTGGGCCTGGCCGAACTTCGCTGCTTTTTCTACTTGTTAATTTGAACTTTTGTGGAGAGTACCAGTAGAAATGGCCCAATATTGCTCACTCAGTTGCAAATTAATACTAGAAGGAGTGGTTCAAACTAAAAGTGCATATTCTTTTGTTAACTAAACAAAACATCCATTAAATTACAATATACTAATAGCCTCAATTATTAAAACAATTATAATTTTTTTTTAAACTAGAGGTGGGGATCTTTTTATCACCATTTCTTTTACCCATTTGTCTCTAGATGTATTGCCTTCCCATATCAACTTAAGTTTAAATTTCGTAATTGTATGGTAACCATATTCAAAATGTCACAATCACCTGCAAAACGTAATATCTGACACTGTCAATTAACATCACAAAGTGGCAACCTTAACATTTTTGAAGTTATACTGACAACGTGTCCTGTACATGCGCAAATCCACTGCAAAAACACTTTGTATTTGTTGCCAAGAGAATGGAAATGAAACAAAATAGACACATTTCCTGTTCAAGGTTTTACAGTTAACTTAATAAAAACAGAAATTATAATAACAATGAGGACGATTAAAACAGCAGAGTATTTTCTCTCTTCTCGTTCACTTATTCCATAGGACTTCAAAAATAAAAACATTCCTCTGTTACTAAAAAGTGTTCAATGGGAAAGTCTTTATCTATCTTCTACATTCTAATACCAGTTGCTAGGCCGTAACTTTTTTGTAGTTTTTCTCTCTCTTTTTTTTTTGTGGGTATCTGTCAGATGTCAATTTGCGATACAAAACAATAAACGACGACATCAAATTGATAACATGTGACAATAATAATAGTGACAGTTTGACGTGAACTTGCCATATTTTAGGCTGGTTATGATGAATAATTTTCAATTATCTCTCAGTAGTTGATAATTAATGGAGTAGTTGGTAATTGAATGTTTTGAAATTTAAAATTTCGAGTATTTCAAAAAAAGCCTGAAGGAATTTTCAGATCAGAATTTCTAACAGAATTTCAAAAAAATCTATATTTTTGTATGAAAACTTTTTAAGTAAATTTTAATAAATATTTAATAAATATTTAAATTTGAAAATGTGCACTACCATTGTTCGAAAATAAGTAAATGGTACTAATTGTTGTACTGTATGAAGGGATAGAGCTGGAATCCTCAATTTTGAATTTTGAAATCTGAAATTTGGTATTAGTGTCGCTGTTCATGTGTACCCGGGACATATGAATGTGATTTCACAAAATGTGTACTATAACTGTACGAAAAGTAGTAAATAGTACTATATTTGTATTGAATGAGATAAAATTCTAAAATTTAATATTTAGATTATTGGTGGTATCTGTGTTTGAGATTTAGTGGTGATTTAGAAATCCGTCCCACATTTGTACGAAAAGTACTAAATGGGACTAAATTTGCTAGAGGGTGAAGGGATAGAGCTGGTATCCTCAAATCTGATATTGAGGTCTCTGTTGATATCTGGAATTGAGATATGGTGGTGATTTTGGAATCATCAAATTCGATATTGAGTTACCTATTGGTATCTGGGATTGGGATTTTTGGAAACGTGTACTATATTTGTACGAAAATACCTAATAGTACTAAATTTATTTCCTGTGCGTATCAGAGGTCACTTTTTATTTCTAGGGTTTACAAATGAAGACTTAGAAGTAGTTTTGGGCAAAAAAAATGGATGTGGGTCAATTATGCAATTGTTTTACCAATATCCTCCTCTGTAAAATGAAAGATTTTAAAGACTTTTTGGTGGAAAAGATATGGATTTCCTTATTATTCTTTTCGAAAAAGGACAAACTCGAATAATAATTAAATCCTGGAAAGTCTGAAAATTTAGTAGGAAGTAGTACGAAGTTTTGATTAAAAAAAATCTCAAACTGAACAAATTGTGAATTTTGAGTATTAAAAAGCAGTAAGTTCGCCCGGGCCGATTTTTCACAACGCCCCAACATTTTGAAGGAACTTGAAAAATTGCAAAAAAAAAAAGTTCGTCAAAAAGTACCGCTCAAAGGAAAACCGCTATATCGCTCATATCATCAAAATACTGAATAAATGGAGGTGCCTTTATATGTGGGCTATTTGAAGAAGCAAACGTACATAGACAATTTTCCGTAGACATTTGAAGCTTCAACTACGAAATTTTAAATAATTCGGGTGGATAGTGTTCCTAAAATCACCAAAAATATGGTGGCTATACGAAGAACTGAGCCTGCATATGAAATTTTTGGCCATGGGCTGTAGTACCCATTACGAAATTTTAAACAATTCCGCAATATATGGCCCATACGAAGGCGCGGACATGTTTACACAATTTTCTGTCACAGGCTGTAGTACCCATTACGAACTTCAAATACGAAATTTGAAATAATTCCGGTAGAAAATATTGCTAAAATCATCAAAATACTGAATGGTGGGAGGTACCGGGGAATATACGATATCGTGGACCTATTTAGACAATTCTCACCCAGGGGGTAAAGTACTCATAAGGAACTCCTTGTGTGGATTTTCAGAGAATTCCATTGGAAAATGTGGCTACAATCATCAAAATACCGAATATAGGGAGGTACCGTTATATGGGGGATATACGATATCGCAGATCTATATAAACAATTCTTTTTCTGGGGATAAAGTACTCATAAGGAACTCCTTGCGTGGATTTTCCGAGAATTCCATTGAAAAATTTGGGTACAATCATCAAAATACCGAATATCACGGGGTACCGTTATATGGGGCCGATGTAAAAGATCTTCGAACTTGACCTGCATGCAGAGAAAAGACTGATCTGTGCAAAATTTTAGCTTCATATCTTAATTCCTTTTGACCCTAGCGTGATTACAACAAACGGACGGACGGACAGGGTTAAATCGGCTTAGCATTTTACGCTGATCAAGAATATATATACTTTGTTAGGTCTACAATTATATATTTGCGATGAGTTACAAACGGAATGACGAAATAAATATTCCCTCCATACCATGCAAGGTGGAAGGTATAAAGATAGGTCAAGACAGAGTAAATATGGCAACCTTGTGGAAATACCTCTGTTGTTAACAACATAGTTACCAATGTTAACTTATTTTAACCGCTAATGGAATGAATATGTTAAGGTGGACTTTTCGCTGTAGAATTAGCGGGCACTTGCTACACTTTTAAACGTCTCTTAATAGCGCTTCAATAACTTTTAGATATCAGTTTGTCGTAGGACCGTTTTTTGGGGCTCTCAAATACCAATTATATATCTTCTTTCCCTGTTGTATATATCCCCAATCTGGCAACCACTTCCCCCATGCGAAATTGTAACGGTAGCAATGCAAAATTTTAACGGTAACAATGCAATACCAAATATCAATTACACCCACATAGCAAATAATCTCCAAACAGGTTCAACCAAATTCCAAATGGCAGTTCATTATTCGGTTGGTCGTCAAACACACAGAGAGAGAAAGAGCTGAGAGCGCAAAGCTAAGCCATTGTTTCAAGTGAAAACTTTGGGGGTTGTCTATTGCGTGTGAGTGTGTGTGCTCTTCCTTTTGGTTTTTCTCGCGCGCTCTCTCTCTCGTTCCATATGCCTCTACGTGTGTGCCTGTGTACGTGAGTGTGCCATCATTGTTAGTAGTCGCGACTACACAACACTGGTCGGTTGGTTGGTTGTTTGATTGTTGGGTTAGTTGATTCGATTCTCTCAGGTCGTTACATCTGTAGTGGTGGCAAAAGGACGATGAGCAAAACATTACACAGCACAAACAAAAGAACATTTATTCAAAATTTTACCATAAATAGTTAACTAATAAATAACCAAGTGTACATAATTGTAATAAATACTAACGGTAGTTTTAGAATTCAATAAAATTAAGATGATTTTGTGACAAATTGCCGATGAAATTTGCAAAACGGAATCGAATCGAATGAAGAAAATTTGCGAATGGTATTATTTTGTCGAATATGTCGGACGTGAGCAGCAGCACCAGCAACGAGCAGCCGTGAGAAATCGATACGACGATGGTATACACATAAACAACATTCCAAAAGAGGAAAGGCAAAAAAACCCAAACGAAGCAAAGAAAAACAGTCAAAAGGATTGTCATTCACACACCACAACACAAAAAAGAAAAAAAAAAGAAATAATAGAAATAATAAAAATGAAAAACGAAATAATCCACAGAAACGCAAGAAATTATAAATGGAAGATTTAAATTCGGATTTTTTGAGTTTTAAACAAATTATATATAAATACTTATATATATATATATATACACAACAACAACCACAACAACAACATACATCGCTCTCTCTATATATATATCATAGTTTAAACAAAAGAAGCAGAAACGAAAAAGGAAAAAAAATAATTCTACAAGAAGAAAAAAGTAATCAACAAAACAACCAACCAAATGGAATCTAGAAGTTAAGGTGAGTCCTGTTTTGCCAAGAAACAAAAAACAAGAACGAACGTCCTGCTGGCAGGATTTACCCCGCAGGAGAACTCGAGATATATACGGATGTGCGTCCACAACATCTTCGTCATAGAAAGTGAAGTTAGTTAGTTTTTTCCCCATTTTCCGTGTTCCTTCCCACCATCATCATCATCGCCACCACCATCATCGCCATCGCCATCAACATCGACGAAACGACGAAGGATATAAATTTTTGTGTGTGTGGCCAGAAGAGAAGAAAAAAAGATTTTTTTTTGTTGAAAACTGAAGGTCGCCCCAGTGTATTATTTTTCATCTTAAATTTTGTTGGCGAGCCTATGGACATTTAATTTTTGTAACTAAAAAAAAAAAAACAAAAAAAAATATAGACGGTGTAATAGAAAAATTATCAGTGTTAAAGGATAAACAAAGGACTTTTTCGCAAATGAAATTCTTGAGTGAAATGGGTTAGTTCTCTGGCAAAATCGCTGTGATGTGTCGCCGTTCGGTGTGATGTGTTTGCCAGCCTGTCACCGAAACGTTGCCAGGCAGCCAGGCAACAATTAATGTAAGGTTTCATGCAAGTACCACCACCCATATTTATTTTTGCATATTTCTTAACCAACAAATGGCAAGGATATTCTTGAAAACTCAAAAAAGAAAAAGAAAACGAAACCCCACGAAACTGTCTTTTTTTTCGTAAAATATCAGTGAAAAAAGGTGTGCTAAGTCCGAGAGACTTGAAAATTATTTATTTCCTAAACTGCGAAAAATAATTAAATTTTAATGGTGTAAAGGACACCCATCACTGCCATGAAATATTAGACAAGTATTCCCGTTCAATATTTTATGTATATTTCCAAATTTCATTTGATTTGTGATTTTCTCCGAATTGTATTATTGTTTTGCCTAATTTGTCATTATTTTTTCACTTCTCATTGCTCTTCCTCCTGCTGTTTGCTGTTATCCTTTGGCTATGATACGAATTTGGTATCATAACTTTTGTGTTGTTGTTGTTATTGGCTTCTGTTTTCTGTTTACCTTCAATATAGACATTGTCTACCATCCCCCCCCCCAAGAAGCATTATTAAGTGAAAAGCCCCCCAACACACACACATCTTTCACATTATGGACCCATCGAGCGACCGACCAACCAGCCATACGCACAAATAAAAAGAGTTTCTACATATTATTAATGCAATGAAATATTTAATAATTGACGAGGAGGGCGAGGTGGCAACATGACAGTCACTGTCTTTCGTTGGAAGATTAAAACAAGTCTACAAATTATGAGAAAAAAATCCCCCTCCCCTCACGTGTATTCTACATATATGTATGCAAAAGTGAGTCTTTTTGCTTTGAGACAGTTTTCAAAACTATTTCCTTGGGGCCAATTGGATTTTATTTATGGTAGACGGAATTGATCCTTAAAATAAATTGTCGCCTCAAAAATTTAAGATATTGGCGTACTCCAGACATAAAAAACCCCATTTAAAACCAGTAAAAAATGTCTTAAAGTCGGGCGGGCCAACTTTATGATACCCTACTCTACTTTGAATATTTAGTAGGGCTTCACATAACAAATAAATGTTTTTATGGGGAATTTGTAAGAATTAAATCGCACCAACTATGAGTATAATTTAAAGTCCAAAGGAACTTATATATGAGAAGAATATCCACCCCTGAATCGGTTTCTACTAAATTTGCCGAGGCATTTTTGCCTTTTCGATTCGGACTTGTATTACCCATTTGGTGCACAATTTGCTTGAAATCGGATAAAGATATATGTGGTAGCTATATCCAAATCTGAACCGATCTCGATAAAATTTGGCAAAGGTATTTCTGAACTATAATTGATACATTTCCCCAAATAACGTTGTTGTGGGGTGCATATTACGGCTGTGGAGAACAAATACAAGAAATCGGATAAACAATATATATATGAGCTATAGCTATATCTGAACCGATTTTTACAAAATCTTACATACTTGTTTCTAGACTCAATTTGGTAGTAAGTGCCAATCCCATTTGGGATAATATTACACGTTTGGTGCAAATCGGACGAAGATATATGCATATGGGTCCTATAACCAAATCTGAACCGATCTCGATAAAATTTAGCAAAAGTATTTCTAAGCTGTATTTGATATATTTCCCCAAATATTGTTGTTACAGAGTGCATATTAAGGCTGCGGAACACAAAAATAACAAATCGGATGAACAATATATATGGGAGCTATAGCTATATTTCAACCGATTTTCACAAATTTTGACATACTTGTTTCTAGACTCAATTTGGTAGTAAATATCAAATTCCATCCCATTTGGGCTAATATTACACGTTTGGTGCACAATAAAAGGCAAATCGGACGAAGATATATGCATATGGGTCCTGGTACCCAAACCTGAACCGATCTCGATAACATTTACCAAAAATATTTCTGAACTGTATTTGATATATGTTCCCAAATATCGTTGTTGCAGAGTGCATATTACGGCTGCGGAGGAAAAAAATAACAAATCGGATGAAAAATATATATGGCTATATAGCATACCTATTTCCAGGCCTAATTTGGTCATATGTGCAAAATTCCATACGTTTTGGACTGATATTATACATTTGGTGCACAATTAAAAGATATTCGGACGAAAACATATATGGGAGCTATATCTATATTTTGACCGATTATCTCCAATATCAATACGGTTCGCCCTTGGGTCAAACAAAAGATTTGTACATAATATCATCTGCATCGTTCATAAAATGCGATCTGTACTTTGCTTACTAGAATACATGGACAGACGGACATGTATAAATCGACTCAAAATGTGACTCTATGCAGATCATCAAAAGGAACTATGGGCCTCGTTTCCTTTTGTTTGTTTGTACCCTGGCCACATTCTGGAGTTGGGTATAAAAAGGTCTATCGTATTTCACCGAAAATCAGGACACAATTTATATTAGACAAATACGTTCCAAACACCTGCCTCAATTCGATTAAAATAGGCTGCCAAGTGGACACAGAATTGGACCACTAGATCCACAATTATCATATGTTTTGCGTCCGGTATAAAAAACCATACTAATGGGAAAATGAGCAGACAATTAAGGTGATTGGTATTTAAATTGGTATTTAAATTTCCCAAACATTGGTATTTAAATTTCCCAAACATAAGCTATTACAATATTCAAATACGAAACTTGACGAAAATCCGGTGAATAATGTAGCTAAAATCATCAAAATATCGAATATAGGGAGGTACCGTTATATCGAAGCTATACTAAGACCTGAACCTGTCTATTTTCTGTCACAGGCTGTAATACCTATTAGGAACTTCAAATACGACATTTCAAACAATTTCGGTGAATATTGTACCTAAAATATAGAGAGGGACTGATATATGGCATTACGGACTCCAAATATCAAATTTGAAACTATACCGCCAACCTATGTCAGAGAATATAGTTACTATTGTTAAATACCGACATTGATAAAAAATCCGCTAAACAAGTACGAAATATAGGAAAGTACCATTATATAGTGACTATACGACCCTTGACCTGTTCAGGTAATTTTCTGTCATGGGAAGATGCACCCATTGAGATCTCCAAATTCTAGATCTGGAATAATTTCGATGACAATTTTTGGCTAAAATCGTGAAAATACCGAATATCTAGGAGGGACGTTGGCTTTAAGAAAATGTGAACCTCTATTAGCATTTTTTCTGTCATAAATGGAAGCATCCATGACGATCTCCAAGTACCAAATTTGAAACAATGCCCGTGAAAAATTGGAATAAAATATTGAATATCGAGAGGTGCAGTTATATGGGGATTATATTAAAACTCGAACCAACAGGGATGGAAGGATGCATCCTACATATTGGGAACACAAACTGTTAAACGAATTTTAATTCGTTTTAAAGTTGTGGCTAAAATGATTAAAACACCTTAAGGTTTTGAAACGCGAATCGATATGGTCCATTTTCAATATCACAAATCCTACAGACATAAAAAAATATGTGAGTTTATCAGCCTTCTTCATTTCGCTCGGAATTGAATATACCCTCCTGGTATCTATATCTATAACAGCGGAAAATGTTGGTACGTTTCATTGTTTGTTAGTTTGTAATTTATGGACCCGAAAACCGCTCAACAGATTTTCCTGAAAATTGCCATATGTACCACAGCATCGCCTGAAAGTAACATAGGCTATATACATTTTTAAAAATCCGCTTAGAACTGGAGATATAGCATCAGAATCGGTATTGATCGATAAAAGATACAGTCTCCAAATTTGGAATATGTAACAGAATTTAGTATAAATATGCCACCTTTGGCACGAATTATGGCCTTCAAACGGCCAATGAAACCGTCAAACGCCCGAATATTGCTCTGCGGTATTTTGGCCCATTCCCCGCGAAGCGCTTGCTTGAGGTGATCGATACTTTGGAATTTTTCGGTGCCAACCTTGCTTTCCAAAATACTCCAGACACAATAGTCCAAATTGTGCGCTGGAAATGAAGCGAGGGACCTCATTTTGTAACCATTCTTGGGTGGCACGTGGTGTTATGGCGGACCACACCATCACCATGGCCGGGGTTAGAGTTCTGTTGGCCAACCGAAGGTACACATTTTCAGCTGACTTCTTTGGCAATAAACACGATCATTTTATTTGTTTACAAACTGCTGGACAACGAATGTTTTCTCATCGGAGCGGAGAAAACCAAATTCGGCAATTCACCACTTTCGGCCAAGCGAAGCAACTCTTTAGCTCTTTGGAGTCTATTTTCTTTCTGTTGCGGTGTAAGTTCAGGAATTTCAATGGCTTTACCCCAAGCTCATTTTTCAATATTTGCCGAATGGGGTTTTCAAAATTTGTAATTGTTGTAAATGGATACCAATGGAACTCAATATAGGTTTGGTAAACACGTTATGTAGTTCTAAATTTGAACTACCAAGGGCCTAAAGCGTACTTCGACCAATGAGATCAAAAGACTTATTTCTATGAGACACATTTTGTAGACATTAAGTAGAGCAATCTGTAACATATAATCGTATATATGGGCATGGTACAAAGATATCAAGGTAGGGCTATGATACCATATGATTTTAATTTTTTTATTTTCTTGGCTTAATATGTCATCTTTATTTGTTTATGTATGCGTTTTCTTTTCAATAACAAAAAAATTGTTCTGAAAATATTCAAATTCGGGTATTTTTCGACAAATTCTAGAGTTTTTGTAGCGAAATAATCCTTTAGAGATATATAGTACATGATTTTGAAAAGAAGCGTTGACCTTTCATTCAGTTATCGCGGTTTTCAATTATTTATTCAAAATAAATGCAACAAGTTGTTTGATTTTATATTGTTTTGATACTAATTCTGACATTACAAGCCAAACAGGTAGACCTCTCTACTTGCAATTTTTTCAAAGTTGGCCTACCTTCTCTTCATTGTACCATGTATATGGGTAATTTAAGTATTAAAGGCTTATTACGGCTTTAGAGCGGTTTAAAATTGAAACTAGTTGGAACTAGCAAATAAAAGTTATACCTTAATCGATCTCCACTAAGTTTATGTGACCTCCCGCACCAAATATCATTGCTATACAGAGCATGTTATGACTTAAACTTAAAATCGGGTGAAACAACTTCATTGGAGAGATGTATCCAAATCTGAACCGATCTTGACGAAACTTTGAAAAGGTATTTCTAGGAAATCTTGTACCAAAAATCATTGAGTCTTCATTTTTCTTAGAAAAAATAAATTTAAATACCAAATCTTCAATTTCTCCACTTGAGCCATTTGCGGTAATTTTTCAAGTCTTTAGAGAACGCAGGATTAGGGAAAATGTTTCTTTCAGTTCGTTGAAGATTATTCGAAAGGGCACGCAATAACTACAACAGCTGATTTTAATATGTAAATGCATCATTACCTACAAATCGAAAATCGAAGAAAGAAACTGGATATTTGAAATGACTTTCAAATAGACCAATTATGTGGTGCAACATATTTAAAAATTAGTATGGCTAGAGATGGTATATATCATTTGATTCAGTCAAAACGCACCTCATCGAAATAACGGTTTTAGACTCAAGGTCTCTTTTGACCCAATCCGTTTCAAGACATTTGGAATTGATCTAGAGGTGTTCGGGAGTATCCGATTTGGTCCAATCTTGGTATATCGTAATATCATTTACAAACTTAGATCAAGTTCGGATCGAGAGGACAGTATCGATCAAATCCATCTGGTACCAAACCCACAAAAGATCGGAATTTTCAAAAAAATATTTGACTACTCAGGAAGACGAAGAATCGTTCGATTTTGCTCTAACATTTGCTTCAGAGATAAGGTCAGGTGCAATAAATGGGCAATATCAGTCCACTCCAACAAAGTCCTCCCCCACAAAGGCTCAAAATGTTTAATAATTGTAACTCTTATATAATGAGATGTATAAGTCCGATTGTCTTCAAATTTCACACATCCCATTATTTATATTAACCCAAGGTCTGGTGTTACGATGGAATATATCGGTCCACTCCTCTGGTACCTCCCCCCACAAATGGTTCAAATAAATATATTTTTGGCACAGATAGAGAAACGATAATCCGATTTTTTCTTCAAATTACACATTTGATAATACATTTATTAACCCAAGGTCTAGTGTGAAAATGGAATAATACGGTCCACTCCATAAAACGCGAAATTAATATCCGATTTCATTCAGACTTGGTATGTTTCAATCTTTCCATCAAAACAAGATATGTTATAAAGATGGTAGATATCGCACCATTTCTTCTGGTACTTCCCCCACATAGGGTTCAAGATTTTGAAAACCGAAACGCTCAAAGAAAGTGAAATAAGCATCCAAATCCATCCGTCCTTCTCCTCAAATTTCTCACATACAAACATTTTTGCTAACACATAATCTGTTGTGAAGATGATATACATCTGTCAACCACTTCTGTTACCTCACCCACAAAGGGTCACAATTTCCAATACTTATATATGTCAGAACAAGTTTGCGATTTTTTACAACATGCTACATCTTACTATTTCTCTTAATGAGAAATCTGATAAGAATATCGGAATTTATGATTTCGCATAAAATTGAATATAAAAATTCGATTTCTTTCAAATTTTGCACATACCAATATTTTTATCTGTATTAGATGAAGTATAAAAACGGAATACTTCAGTCCACTGTATCTGTTACCTCACACATATTTCCACATTTTCCAAAAATTTGCACATATCTCATATTAAGTAGTCCAAATCTGTCATAAGTCAGGGCGGGGGGTATACATCTGTCGGCAAAACGGGTTTTTGTTTTTATACCCTACGTCACAAGGTGGTCAGGGTATTATGTCTTTCTGCATTTGTTTGTAACAGGCAAAAGTAAACGAGATAGACCCATAGTTCCCTTTGACTCAAATTCTGAGTCGATTTATGCATGCCCGTCCGTCCGTCTGTCCATGTAATTTTTGTAAACAAAGTACAGTTCGCATTTATTGCCCTATCCAGATGAAATTTTGCACAAATCATTTGTTTGGCCCAAGGACGGGCCCTATTGAAATAGGAGATAATCGGTCAAAATTTAGATATAACTCCCATATATATCTTCGTCCGATTTGCCTTTTATTGTGCACCAAACGTGTAATATCAGCCCGAATAGTATTGAATTTTGCACATACAACCAGGCCAATTAGGCCTGAAAATGAGTATGCCAAATTTGATCGAAATCGGTTCAGATATAGCTATAGCTCCCATATATACTGTTCATCCGATTTGTTATTTTTGTTACCCACAGCCGTAATTTGCACTCTGTAACAACAATATTCAGGAAAATATATCAAATACAGCTCAGAAATATCTTTGCCAAATTTTATCGAGATCGGTTCCGATTTAGATATAGCTCCCATATATATCTTTATCCGATTTCAAATTAATTGTGCACCAAATAGGCAATACAATTCCGAATTTAAAAGATACAAATGCTTCGGCATATTTAGCCCGTTGATCTTTAAATTATAATTATAATCATAGCGTGTATGATTGAATTCTCCCATAAAAACTTTTAATTGTTGTGCGGAGCTCTACTAAATTAGCAAAGTAGTGTAGGGTATCATAAAGTCGGCCCCGCCCGTTTTTTTTCTTATTATTTATTTACCTTTTTTTACAAAACACACCCTGATTAAAATGTATATTTTTTCTTAGAATGTATTTAACAATTGGAAATTCACAATTGATGGGATTTCCCATTGAATCAGAGTCATTAAATTCATCGATAAGTTTCAGTTTGGCAAATTGCAAGTCAGCATAACAAAACATGTACATTATTGTTTTTGGTGTCACAGCGATAACGTCCTGCGGATTTTATCCTTCCAAAATATTTTTGACATCAACACATCCTAAAAACCGAAATGAACTCTCCAAGTAACTATATTCTAGTGGGTATTCGAGCTTTTGTGGGCGTTATAATTTCACCTTTTGAAAATGAATCATCTCGTCTAGGACCTCTTCTCAGAGTTTTTTTATAATATTTTATTTCTATTAAAAAATAACCTTAATTTTTCACTCTTCCTCCCTTTTTTGCAGACTATTTACGACCATGCAGAATATGCTCTCGCCAAAGGCCAACCAATTGTGCTCGAATATTGGTAGCTGTGAAACGGATCATCATCACAATCAAATGCATACATCATCACATGGTCATGGGCATTCTCACAACAATGGCCAACAACAACAGCAGCAGCAACAACAACAACAGATGCATCATCAACACATGCATCAACATCATCAGCATCAACACCAGCAGCAACACCACCAACAGCAGCAACAGCAACAGACTCAGATGCAAATGCAGTTGCAACAGCAACAGTCATCGCATCATCATCACAGCCAACAGTCGCAGCAGCAGCAGCAACACCACCAACATCAACACCAACATTTGTCATCGGTTATGAATCGACGTGGCAGCAGCAGTAATGTCTTGCCACCACACATGACACAGCTGTCGCTTAGCTCCGGTGCCAGCAATGGCAGTGGGGGTGGGAGTGGCGGCAGCGGAAGTGCTGCTTCTGCTGCCTGTGTGGGCAGCAATACAACACTGCGCCGTAAATCATCGCTGAGCTATCAACAACAATTGATGGGCAACACATTACAATGCAGTTCGGACATAACAACGGACTGCGGTACTGAAATATCACCGGGACATTTTAGTCCCCATCCCAATGAACTGTACCTACATCACTCGCACACGCATCAACAGCAGCAGCATCAGCAACACCATCAGCATCAACAGTCACATCAACAGCCACCACCACCGCATGTCAAACTAAGTCTGCAGCCCATGGAAAGATACGATGACTCATTGGCCTGTAGTTTGCCACCACCATCACCGGCGCCCAACAGTGATCGTTTTATTGATGGTAATTGTGTGGTCTCGCCACCGAATGGACACAATGACGCCAGTGATGATCTTCTGCCGCCACACCATCACCATCATCACCACCACCAACAGCAGCAGCAGCAGCATCATCATCAGCAAACCTTGTCATCTTCCACCTCGAACTCGTCAATATCAACCGGGGGTTTGGCTGGCTGTTCATCGTCGGCAATTGGATGTGGACCAATGAATGCATCGCTGCAACGCCACCATGGCCTGAAATATGGTGGTGGCAGTGCTGGACAGAATCTGCAACGTTCTGCCTCGCCCAATACCAGCCGTTATCGTTTGACGACGGCAACGACAACGGATCATCATCGTTATCGTGATTTGAATTCCAGCTCCAGCTCCTCACCCTCCAATCCGGCAGCGGCAGCTGGCTCGGCGGTGCCAACGCAGACGGGACGTTATCTGAGCAGTTCGTCTAGTCACTATTTGAAAAATTGCCCCCCACCATCATTGGTGCCGAGCGACACCTACAGCTATTTGTCCTCGTCGGCCCATACACCGGTCAAGCGTTACGTACCCACCCCACCACCACCCCATGAGCTATATGTGGCCGATCATCATGCGCACACACACTACAGCAAACCCCAGGTCGCATCGTCGTCACATCAGTCCCAGCTGCCACAGATGGTGCAACAATATCCAGGTCCAACGGCTGTAACCACAACGAAATGTGGACCTCAATCCTCGTCTTCACCCAGTACACTGCCATATCGCAATCGAAACTTGAAATGTTGCTCCTCGGATCAGCAAATAGCTGGCGGCGAATTGCAGCCGCTGGCCAGTCTAAATCAAACGAAGGAACATTACGCTTCGTCACCACGCATTAGGGCCAGTAGTCAATGTGGGCCTGCGGCGGCGGCCGCAGCAATGGGGGGAGGTACAAAAATATCTGGCAAAGATTCGCCGGTGGTACATCATCTGATAAACAGCGATGGTCAGGGTATGATGGCGGCCGCAGCGGCAGCCCACACCTATAGCAAAACCTTCAGCATGATGACCACCCAGTGTAGTGTGGTGAATCAGCCGCATATGGTGGCCACCATTACGGCCGTGGGCTGTGTCAGCTCTCCCCAAAGTAGTCTGAACATAACCAGTACTGTGGCACGTTCCCAGCTGCCGCCACCAGTGTATGGCAGCAATCAGCGTAACATGGCCAGTGGCACGGGCATGTGTTCCATGCTGACGGACATGCAGCAGGAGATGTCCTCCACCACAATAAGTGCCACCATGTCGAATAATGTCGGTGACATGAGCTCGCTTTCCTCGGTGGCAGCCACAACGACAGTGGGTCTCTGTACCACAAATGTGAGAAAAGATGAGAGCTCAACGGCGGGAGTGGCAGCCAACAACACAGGCCTGGTATTAAGTTCTGGAGCGACATCTGTTGGCTCCACCACCTCAGCTGCCACATGTTTGCACTGCAAAACGGTGCGTCGTACCACAGGTGTTCATCAGACCACACAGACCACTGGACCCATAAGTCCAGTACCTCAAATGATGCCCACAACTCCCTTGGCAGCAGCAGCGGTGGCGGCAGCGGCCGCCTTAACCAATTCCAGTGGCTCCAATGGAGTCAGTGGTTCCAGCACTGCCAGCAATCAAAGATATTTGGAACAGCAGCTGGCCAACATGAACATGACAACATTAACACCCACCACCACCAATGCCGCCGCCAACAACAACAGCAGCAGCAACAGCAACAATGCTAATGACATAAACCACTTAACACCTCTAACGCCGCCAAATGCTGGCCAAATGCCGCTTGTCAATCGTATGCTCAACTCAAACCAAAAGAAGCAGCAGCAGCAGCAGGATATGGTCACTGACCAAATGTACAGTCAACTCAAAACGAGTAGTAATCAAATGATCCAGCAGCAGTCCCAGCAGCAGCAGCAGCTGATGAATGCGGAATATCAAAATCATCACCACCAGCAGCAGTTTCAACAACAGCAGCAGCAACAACTGCAATTACATCAGCAGCAGCAACAACAACAGCAGCTGCAGCAATCACCCCAGCAGATGCAGGAACAACATTACATGGTACCCTCAGCCATGCGTACCTATCAGCCGGCCCAGGTGGCCGTACAGCAGCAGCAACAGCAACAACAATTAGCTCAGCCACAGCTACAAATCCAGCAGGCCTCTCCGCCCCAGCTGGCTCAGCCACAGCTGGCACAACCCTCATCAGCCGCTCTCAGCACAATAAATCAACAGCAGCAACAACAACAACGCTACTCTTGCAAAAAACGCTTCACCGAATACATGCGTCGCGAAATGATGCGCTTCTTTGGCCTTGAGGTGTCCACCGAAGCCGAAGACTTTGCCCTGTGGCAGGGCAGACAGCGACGTCTGGCCATTCGACGTTTTGGCACACTGAAAACTGAAACCGCCGAGCTACCCGAAGGCTGTTCGCTGGACAACAATGGCGCCAATGGTTCACATCCCTCAAATTCCCATTGTTCTGGTTTCAATAATGGCGCCCAACACTCACACTATCAGCAGCAACAACAGCAGCAGCAATCGCAGCAGCAGCCACATCATCATCACTCACACAACCACTCACACAATCACTCGCACAACCATCACCATGCCTCGGAACGACCCGACATACTGCCTGTACAGGACACTGCCGACGATGATGATAGCCATGGTAGCGATAGTGTTGGCTCCGGTGGGGCGCTGCGACGTCGCGGCGGCGGCCACCAACGTGATCACTTCCATCATCCCTACTACAACATAGACTTTCGAGCGGGCGACCATGTGGAACGCAAACCATCCGTCATGTCTATGCTGGTTTCAGGCTGTAGCTATTTGGTGAACGCTCTCAACAAACGCCAAATGGATTTCCGGCAACGCCGCCAATGGTCACGCAGTTTTGCCCCCGCTCATGTACAGAATCCCCAGAATTTGGATGGTTCGGCGGCGAACAATGAAATCTATGAGGGTGTGGCGGCCCTAAACGATGAGGTTTTCTTCGACTCACCCTCCGGCATGGATGCCAATGCAAATGCCAACAATGGCTCTTCCACATCGGGTGCCAATGGGGCGGCCGGCACACCATCCAACAATCCAGCCCGAAATCCCACAATTAATGGGGCCTCTGGCTCAGCTGGCGCCCAAAATCTCGATCGCCAAATATTCCAGAGTAATCCACAGGGTTGGCGTACCACCAGCAACAACACCGTCAACCACAACGAATCGGCCAACCTGCAACAGGCTGTGGTCCTACATGGCTCCGCCATACAGGATCAGGAAAACTCTCCGCAACAGGGCCAGCAACAGCCGCCGCCACAAATACCCGGCATACGGGCCAATCGCATTTCATCTCAAATATTGGATGGCGTTCTGGAGAATTCGCGTCGTCCCGCCACGCAAAAGATAAAACTATTCTGTGTTAATGATCTCGACGATCGGACCGATCATCGGCCCTTCTTCACCTATTGGATTAACACTGTACAAATTATCGTATTATTTCTATCGCTGCTGTGCTATGGCATTGGTCCCATTGGCTTTGGCGTGGAGCAGAGAACCGGTCAGGTGCTGGTGACCAGCCTGAGTCTGCAGACGGTCCAGCACACGGAGCAGCGCAACATTTGGATTGGGCCGCGCAATCAGGACCTGGTGCACATGGGTGCCAAGTTTGCCACGTGTATGAGGCGTGATGTAAAAATTATCGATGTAATGATGAAGACCCGGCGTCAGGAGCGAGAGACGGCCTGTTGTATAAGAAACGACGACTCGGGTTGTGTACAAAGTTCGCAGGCAGACTGTTCGGTGCGGGGGCTGTTTCCAACGGTAAGTCGCCATAATTTTGCCTTAAAATACACCCCTTCTTTAACGATTTTTGTCTCCCCCCGCCCAGAAATCCATATCAACCTGGAAGAAATGGTCACCCGGCGAATCGGGCCCCGGCGGTCGCATATCGGGCTCGGTATGTGGCCTCGATCCCAAGTACTGTGATGCCCCCGCCTCCATAGCACCATATGAATGGCCCGATGACATCACCAAATGGCCCATATGCCGTAAAACGAATTCGTTTTCACAGCGTTTTCGTTTCAAGGATCACACCGCCGAACATATGGTGTGCGAGGTGATAGGACATCCCTGCTGTGCGGGAATCTACGGTGAATGCCGCATAACGACACGGGAATATTGTGATTTTGTAAATGGTTATTTCCACGAAGAGGCTTCACTTTGCTCACAGGTGAAGCGATTGCTTGGAATATCTGCTGGAATATACATCTAATCAAAATTGTCTCTCTCTCCTTTCAGATCTCATGCCTGAACAACGTCTGCGGCATGTTCCCATTTGTAAATGTCGAAGTTCCCGATCAATTTTATCGCCTCTTTACATCGCTGTGCATGCACGCTGGCATTTTGCATTTAATGATAACCGTGATATTTCAACATGTGTTCTTGGCCGATTTGGAGCGTTTAATTGGACCCGTCCGAACGGCCATCTTGTATATAGGTTCGGGACTAGCTGGCAATTTGACAAGTGCCGTCTTAATGCCATACAAACCAGAGGTAAGCTAATGAATAGTTGCTTTTGAATGGGGGATATTAAATTTTTGTGGTTTTTGGATGTTCAAGGACAAAGCCATAATTTTTGATGTTCATACCCTTCACAATATAAGGCAGGGTATATAATTTATATATCCTCCACCATACATAGTATGGAGGATATGTTAAGTTTGTCATTCCGTTTGTAACTTATCGACATAATGATTTTAAGCCCTACAAAGTTTATATATTCTTGATCAGCGTTAAATTCTAAGACTGTCCTGTCCGTCCGTCAGTCCATCTGTTCGTCTGTTGTAATCTTGCTAGAGGCGAAAGGAATTAAAATAGAAAGCTAAAATTTTGCACATATCAGTCTTTTGCCTGCAGGCAGGTCAATTTCGAAGATGGGCTCTATCGGTCCACGATATCATATAGCGGTGCCCCCGATTTTCGGTATTTTGATGATTGTAGCCAATTATTTCAATGAAATTGTCTGAAAATCCACACAAAATCCTTCTGAGTACTTTACCCACTGTAAGATTATTGACGATATTATAGTTCCACGATATCGTATATCCCCCTATATTCGGTATTTTGATGATTTTAGCTATATTTTTCATTGACATTGCCTAAATAACCATAGTAGAAATTTTTTTAAAGCACTTTAACCCTGGAAAGAATTGTCTATATTTTGGACCACGATATCGTATAGCCCCCATACAACGGTGCCCTCTCGATATTCGATATTTTAATGATTTTAGGAACTTTATTCACTGAAGTTGTTTCATATTTCGTATTTTGAGTTCGGAATGGGTTCTACAGCCTATGACAAAAAATTGCATACGTAGGTCCATGTCTTCGTATAGACCCCATATAATGGTTTTCATTTAGACGGTATTTTTGATGGAATTTGTTTTAATTTTTCAAGTTCCTTCCAAATTGTGGAGGGTATTAAAAGTTCTGCCCGGCCAAACTTAGCTGCCTTTTTACTTGCTATATTCTCAGTCACAAAGGCTACAAAGGGTATATAATTTGATACGGTCAAAACGTCCCTCAACGAAATAACGGTTTATATCCTATGTCTCTATTTCAAATCAATTTCAGGATAATATAGGGGAGTCCGTCTGTCTATCAAATCGTCAACATCTTGAATAATTTTGACTCTCAAAAAATGGGAAATTAGCATCTCATTCTCTTCAAATTTCACAAGCCCCAATATTTTTACTAACGCAAGATCAGGTGTATCGCGTCACTTCTTCTGGTACCTCTACAAAAAAAAATTCAAAAATTTCAATACTTAAATTATAACATAGCTTGCTCAACAAGTCAGTTTCTCGGAGTCAAAACAAATATATGGAAATTATCGGCCCACTCCTTTTTGTAACTTCTCCACAAAAGGTTAAATTTGTGATTAAAAATTTTTCGGATAAAATTGGATATAAATGTTCGATTTTCTTTAAATTTTGTACATCCAAATATTTCAGTGATAGATGAAGTGGAATACTTCGGTCCAGCCATATGCCTACAGAGGGTATACAGAGTGAGATAAAAAAAAACAGCAACAAATTTTTACATTTTTTTTTTTTTAATTTTATTGAGTGAAAGCATGTCGGAAATAGCATCGAATTTTAGAATAAGTTTAGATTTGTTCGAATTGGTCACCTTTGGCATCAATTTTGGTCTTCAAACGGCCAATGAAACCATCACACTCTGCCCGAAGGTTGCTCTGCGGTATTTTGGCCCATTCCCGGCGAAGCGCTTGCTTGAGGTTTGTTTGTTTACAAACTGCAGGAAAAGGAATGTTTTATCATCGGAGAAAACCAATTTCGGCAGTTCACTACTTTCGGCCAAGCGAAACAACTCCTTAGCTCTTTTGAGTCTATTTTCTTTCTGTTGCGGTGTAAGTTCTTGCACTTTTTGGATTTTCAATGGGTTTACCCCGAGCTCATTTTTCGGCCACTGCGACGCGGGTTTCGATCAAGTCGCTTTTTTACTTGTCAAACCATTTCTGCTGATGTTGTTCTTTTCTTCGTATATAAAGAGCTGTCACTGGAAAATTTTTATACCAACTCTAAATCCGACATGAATATATATCCGTTCTGGTACCCCACCTACAAGTTTTTAATATTTTTATACCCTACGGCACACTGTGGTACAGTGTATTATGTCTTTGTGCATTTGTTTGTAACATGCAGAAGGAAACGAAATACACCCCTAGATCCAAACCAAATACAGGGCGCCTTTATTATTCGATTGAGATGAAATTTTCTACAAATCATTTAATCGGCCCAAGGACGAAACCTATTGAGAATCGTTCCAAATTTAGATTTATCTCCCATATATAATCGTCCGATTTCAATTTAATTGCGTGCCATATGTGAAAAATTCGTTCTTCAAATTTGGTGAAAATTGCCTCAGATATAGCTATGGTTCCCATGCTATATTTCATCCGATTTGGTATTTAAGACCTTTACATTCGTAATGATATTTGGTATACATAGTATCTTAAGAGAAGATTGGTTAGATGACATAAGCAGTACTTCAATTTCATCCTTGCAATAGTAAAAGACAAGAAATGGAATTTATATTCTTTTTCGAAACGCTGTACTGTACAATTTTTTTCTACCGAATCTCTCAAAATATATAAAATGTTGTGGATGTTTCATCATCCGCTCTTAAACTGTTTATTTTTCATATTTACTTACGTTTTCCATAGCCATTTTTGTAATATATTTTATATCTCATCTTTTCAAAAAAAAAAAAAAAAAAAAGATTGATTAAATTTGTTTGTTTACAAAAAAAAACTGATTGTTGAACAGCTGATGTTATTGGATAATTATTAGGTGTGTCTGGTTACTTTTCCAGCAGGAATTGTCCAGCAACTTCTTTCTGAGAGAGTAAGGTAGTTTTATTCTCTTTTGCTAGGAAATTCCTGCAGAAGCTTGCAACTAATCAGCTGATTTGTCAAAACAAACCAATTTGTCCCCTATTAAAAGAATTAAAGGAAAGGAACCACCACCAATTTCACAAGTTTTATAAATAAAAAGGAAATTGACAATAAAATAAAAATATGAGCAATAAAAGGAAGATAGATTTGATGTATTCCGCGGAATCCTTTAAACCTGTTGCTAATGACATTTGTCTAAAAATGTTGGAAATAGTCTTTTATTTTCTTATTAAATATTAATATTTATGTTTTTCACATTTTGTAAAGTTGTTCTCCAAAAACAATTAGTCTTGCTAATTCCAAAACAATATTTTCAAATTAAAATCACAAAAAGAAATAAATAAAGAAAAGAAAATATCTGATTGAATGTCGATGAATGAGAAGAAGAAGAGTTGCAAGAGATTGCAAGAAGAAATTTGTCCAGCGAGAATTTGCAAACTCTCACTGAAAGAACTGTCAAAATTTCTCTCTCCAACCGCTCTCTTTTGCAGAACTTTCGGGTTAACAGACGACTTCCAGTAACAATTTGTAACAATTGTTACAAATTTTAGGGTAACCAGACACACCAATTATTGGGGAAATTTGCCGTTTGAATTTGCAAACTCTCAGTGACCCAAAAGTCTCTCTCATTTATCTCTCACTTACTGGACTTTTGGTTGTCAAAATTTGTACAAGTTATCGAGTAAAGGAAAAATGGTATTAAAAAAATGTAATGGAAGAAAGTTATATGATGGTGCAAGTACATAAAAAGCTTGAAGTCATGGCTAGGCATATTAATGTCAAATTATAATGGAAAATGGCGGCAGGATTTTAGTGCGGCTCTGTAATCCCTTTATGAACTGTGTAATTCCTTTATGAACTGTCTTAAAAAAATGTGACTACTGACTTCAAGCTTTTCATGTGCTTGCACCTTTACTTCTCGAATACGATCCTCCGGCTCTGTCGGTAACTATCTTAATAGCCATTCAACCGGATTTAGTTAATGTATTGAATAAAAAATTATATTATTCAGAGTTAATATTCGATTTAAAAAATCATTTTTTATATAATTTTATTAAAAATAAACATTATTTACAATGCAGTAACATCAAATGGAGATACTATTTAAAAAGCAAGTATCTTATTATTTTTTGTAAAAGTTCGTAAATTCAAGGCTCCTCTGTACTGCATTCATTTAAGCTAGAACTAACAAAACATAAAACCTGACTTCAATATCATTTAAAGCTAAAAACAAAATCGGGTAATATCAAAATTAGATTTAAGAATAACATTGCTTATACAATAACCCTTTTCCAAGTCTCAGTCAGTCTAGAATTTATTTAAAATTTAAATATTTGTTTTTTTTTTCTTCTTCTAGGTGGGTCCACTTGCATCGTTATCGGGTGTTATAGCCTCACTGATGGTACTATTAATATTATCGCATTGGCAACATTTACACAAACCACATGTGGCCCTGTTCAAGCTGATGTTTATGGGTGCCATACTCCTCGCTATTGGAACGCTGCCATGGCAACTGAATTTTGCCGGTATTTTTGCGGGTATATTCAGCGGTATAATTCTAACAATAGCTTTAGTACCATTCGTTAGTGTCACCAAATATCGGCGTAAATCAAAGGTGAGATAAAGAGGATCACAAATACTAATGGCAACTTACTAATATTTTCTCTCTCTCACTCTCCCGCTCTCTCTCTCTGCTCTCCACAGATAAATTTAATATGGTTTTGTATTATATTCCATGTATTCGTTTATGCCACAATGTTATTAATTTTCTATATGTTCCCCACTGAATTAACAAAGCTAAGTTTCGGCGAGGTGCTCACGAATAGTTTTAATAATGGTGCTACCGGGGGTGGCCCAATTGGCAGCGGCGGCAATATGGCCAATGGCGGCGGTGGCGGTGGTTCGCCGGGCATTAGCACAACTGATATTATGCGCACAGGCATTTCAAACAGCAACAATAACAATAATAACAACAATAATAATTATAATCGTCAGTCATTTATGCATCAGCAACAGCCCCAGTATCACTACCACCATCAATCGGATGATATAATAATCAATAATGTTGCCGCTGTGGCGACGGCGACCCTGGCACCCTACATCCAGTAACGAAGAATCCCCAATGGTGAATTTGGCAGCGGATAGGAAGGCGCAAGCTAGCTCGCGCGCCCTCTCTTACGTTTTCTTTTCAATTCCGTTTACTTGTGTCTCTCTCCTTTGTTCGATCTCTAATTTAGTTATTATATTATATAATAATTAATAATACTATATAATAAATTTAAGAAAACAAAACAAGAAACAGAACAGTAAAACAAAACAAAAAAAAACAACAAATAAATTTAAAATTAATGAGATAAAACAAATACATCACACGTATAGGTAAACGCGGGTGTGACAATTCACCATTTCTATCAAACAACAACAAGAATAAGAAGAAAAACCAAAAAAGAAATAAAAAAACCAAAAAAAAAAAAAGATTATTTGTCAAAATAATTAAGAATAATAAATAAAAATTATTATAAATAAATATAAAAAAATATATTCGAAGAAATGTTTTATTGAAACACACTTAGGTTGAGGATACATCGTTGCATGATAATTATACGATAATTACAGGAAACCCCTACATTTTATAAAAGTAAAACTAAACCAGTTAAAAAGTAACAGTCGGTTTTGCCAACAGATTTATGCCCACATCCAATATTCGATTATTTAAATATATTTTGGCTTATGTTATTAATATTTTCTATGGAGTAGGATCTAAAGGAATGGGCCAATATTGTCCTTTTCGTATCGGACCTAAATAAATATGATATAAATATTATGGTGTACCAGGTTCGGACTTTATTTGAGATAAGTGATAATTTTTAGAAAATGTTAAAATGTGCGCGTGGTACTAGATATAGTCGACCGAAGTGATCCATTTTCATATTTCATCTAATAAAGATAAAAATATTGGCATGGACAAAATTAAAAGAAAATCGAACGTAAATTCTATATTAATTTCAGATTTCTGGATGAGAATCGCTGACTTGTTTCGCAAGTTATGACAGACAAAAGTATTGAAAATTGTGACCCCGTTTGTGGGTGAGTTACCAGAAGGGATTCGCTGGTATATATAATATTCGCAACAGAACTTGTGTTGGCAAAAACATTTGTGTTTGTGAAATTTAAAGGGAGCCGGATGCTTATTTTTATTTTTGTTATTCAAAACTTTGACCCTTTGTGGGCGAAGTACCAGAAGAAATCGTTCGATCTCTGTCATCTTTATAACAGATCTAGAGTTGATGGAAATATTGAGATGTACCAAGTCCGAATGGAATTGGATGTTAATTTCGCGTTTTATGAGCTTCATGAATATTCAAAATTTCGACCCTTTGTGGGGGAGGTACCAGAAGGAGTAGACCGACATGTTCCATCTTAACACCAGACCTTGAGTTAATATAAATATTGAGACGTGTGAAATTTGAAGACAATCGGACTCTTACATCACATTTTATAAGAGTTGTAATTATTCAAAATGTTGGACCTCTATGAAGGAGGTACTTGATGGAGTTGACCGATATTGCCCATTTTCACACCTGACCTAGCACTGACGGAAATATTAGGATTTGCAAATTTGGAGCAGAATCGGATTATCGTTTTTCTTTCTGTACAGAAAATATAATTTTTTGAAAATTTGTGAGGGAGGTACCAGATGAAGTGGACCGATATATTCCATATTAACAACAGATGCTGGGTTTATAAAAATATTGCGATGTGTTAAATTTAAAGGCAATCGGACTCATACATCACATTTTATAGGAGTTGTAATTATTAAAAATGTTGGACCTCTGTGGGGGGGGGTACTTGATGGAGTGGACCGACATTGCCCATTCTCACACCTGACCTAGGTTTAACGCAAATATTAGGGTTTGCAAAGTTGGAGCAAAATCGGCTTATCATTTCTCTTTCTGTGCAGAAAATATTTTTTTATTTATTTATTTTTTTTTTTTTTTGAAAATTTTGGACCGATATTGCCCATCTCCGAACTCATTCTAAGCTTGACAAAGTTATCGTGCGCACCAGCCGGACGGACGGACATCGGTAGATCGACTCCAAATGTTCTGAAACGGATTTGGTCCGAAGAGACCTAGGGTCTAAACCCGGCAAGGCACGTTTTGGCCGTATAAAATGATATATACCCTCTGTAGCCATATGGCTGAGGGTGTAAAAAGAAGACACGTGTATGTGACGTTTTGGAAGTTTACATCGTAAAGTTACCCAAATTGAGGAGAAAAGTTTCCGCCTTTTTGAAATTTTCGGATTAAGTTTGCTTGGAATCAATGCATTTTGCAATGCGAGGTTATTTATGAATGCTATATCCAAATCTCAACCGATTTGAATATAATTTAAGTTACCCAAATTGAGGAGAAAAGTTTCCGCCTTTTTGAAATTTTCGGATTAAGTTTGCTTGGAATCAATGCATTTTGCAATGCGAGGTTATTTATGAATGCTATATCCAAATACCAACCAATTTGAATATAATTTGGCAAATTTTTGTACCGAATTCCGTCACTCATCCCAAATTTTATATATAATTTGGCAAATGTATTAAATTAAATTCTGTTACTTATTCCAAATTTGAAGTCTGTATCTTTAAACGATCCAAAGATATGTGCAAAAAAAATCTAATTTTTTTGGAGGTACCTCTGATTCTGATGCATATCTCCAGTCCCAAGTTGAATTTAAAAAACAAATGATGTAGCCCATGTTACTTTCAGGTGATGCTCTAGTATATTTTTGGAAATTTGCAGGAAATTTCCTTTTTCGGAAAGAATAATAAAAAAAATGTTTACATTTTACACCAAAAAGGTCATTTTGAAGAATACCGAAGAATATCTGTGCAATACAATTTCAACGTTTCCTGAGACCAACAGTAACCCTTCACCCAACTACAAATTAAGTAACATTTAGTGAGCCTATACAAAATAATCTACATCCCTCCATCCTAGACAACAAATTAACAAAGCGCATCACCAGAAATGACGCCTCTTGGAGTTCGTTAGAAGAGCATCTATCTCGGAACTATTCATCCGCTTTTGTTTGGAAAGGTAATCCAAATTAAAACTTTTTTTTAAAAAATTCCCCTGAAATGACTTATTGTAAGCAATTGTGGGATTTCCTTTGCCTAATAGGTAACATCTAATGAACTTCAATTAAATGTTATATAATTAATTTTTTTAAAAATATCCAAAAAATAAATAAACAACTCCTTCTGTTATTGGATTATATTTTTCATTTATTTGTAAAATACATTTTAATTTAAATATACATCGTTGTTTATGTTTAGTATTTAAATATTAATATTTTTATATATCAGTGTAGAGTATAGTATAGTAAATATGTATATAGAAACACATATTTCAATATATGTCCGCATAGTGTAAGTATGAATAATATAAGGTTATAAAAAATATATATCCTTGATAAATCTTGAATAGATTAGTTTTGTTTGTATTTTTTTCTGTTGATGTTGAAAACTTAAAACACTATATACAATAGATAGACAGATATGGTGAGATTATATATAAGATTTTCTTTTTTTTTTTTTTCCTATATAAGTAGCTAATAACTAAATACACTAACAAAATTGAGGAGGAACATCCCCAAAATTTACATAACAACATCCCGACAAACTATTTTCGTTTTTGATGATGCTCTCGACGGACCATTACCATTCATCATTGTCGTCGATTGACCATATGTATCACTAGCACCAGACGACGAAGAATAATCGACATGGCCAACATGCGTCTGTTGCTCTTGTCTAGCCAAAAAATTATCAGCTATAGCACGATCCAAACCGGTATATTGAAATGATGGATTACCATCAATGACATCGGCATCAGATTTACGACGTTGACGACGATTTGCATCGGATTTACCAGAACGCAAAAGTTGTGCGGCGGCACGACGTTTTTTACGAGCATCAACAGATTTCGTGCTACGTTGGGTGCGATAGGTTCCGGTCATACTGGCTGCTGGCATGCTAGCGGCATAAAGCGCCTGTGGTGGTGGTCCATAGATGACGGGCATCGAAGCAGTTCTCATCATGGGTAAAGTCATACCACCACGATATGCTGCAGGGGGCATTGCAGGTGGTGCTAGCATTGGTTGTGGTACCATTGATGGCGTTAACTTTGGTTCGGGAAGAATAATAAATGAAAATAAATTGAAATTAGTTTTGTGATCAATTTTGAAATTTATTTTGTATATCAATTTAATTGTCTTACGTTTCCAGTGGCTGGTATAAGCATAACAGGTCTACCATTTGGTGCCATTTTGGGCTTTGATGCACCCATATTTGCGGTTTGTGCAGCATACATCCATAGGGCGGCCAATTTATCATTGTTTTCCTGAAAATAAGTAAAAATATATGAAAACGTGCAAATATTGACATGAAATAAATAATATTGGAAAGGTGAAAAAATATATTTAAAGCCTGTGATTTTTTCTGCATTGTTCTATTTTATAAAGTCAACGGTTATTATTCCTAGTGGTCCAACAACAAATATACTTAAAATCCACTATTAACTGGATTCACAACTATCACTCCGATATTCCATCTAAAACAGTTATTAAGTAATCCTTGATTATGTCCTTAATGACCTATCAAAAATTCTTAAAAAACGCGATTATCTCTTCCTAAGTCCATTTGAAAATATCCTATAAACTAACGATTATCTCCCTGAAAGTTTATCAAAGTAGGCCTAAAGACCACAATAATATATTTTCGTTTTGGGATATAATTCAGCCCATGTCCGGAATATTTCCAATATTTCAAGGATAACAGAGAGTAGCGCCAACCGTGTTACACATCAAATAGAAGTCCAGATACTCTCACACACATGATATACATTAGGTCTTTACCTTCTCACTTCCAGCCATTGACATTGCCTTCATGTATTGATCTACTTTCTCTGGGTCCAGGGCCAAACCATTTGCATTTGTCTTAATAATAATATCCTGTAATTCAGCGGTTTTAGATCTGAAAATAAAGAGAGACATTAAAGAATTTTAATTTAATAGTTTACATAAATAAAGAACAAATTTTATTCTTCATGAATTAAATAAATAACGTTTATTCTTAATAATATTATAATTTGCACAACCTTGCGTTACTTTGCTTCACTAACTGCAGTGTTTTTCTGTGTCAAGAGAACGCAGCTGCAATAAAATTGTACTCTCCCTCTGTGAGCACTGATGAATGAACAAAGCATAACAAGTAGGGATGTGTAGTTGCTGTTTAGCTCTATCTACATTTGAATAGCAAGTTTTTAAGAAATTAGTGAATATCAGTTTATATTTTTTTCGGAAGGAGAGATTACAGCTAAGTTTTCTTTTGTCCCAAAGCATTGCATGCGCGGCAATTTCATCTTCACAAAAGTTGACATCACAACATCGATTTCATAAATTTATCGATTTTAACTATCGATTCACCAATAAGCCAAAAGTCGACTTATTTAACCCTAAATTACGAAGTTAACAGACAGACAGAACGGAAAAGTTAGGAAAAAAATAAATTTTTTAATATAAAAATGTGTTTATCAGATTAAAATAAATTATTTATAGAATTAAGCAACAGCACTAAATTTATTGATAAAAATCTCACATGAAACGCTAGAACATGTAAATATAAAGAGAAAATATTGATTTTCGTGGCCGTCAACAAAAAGAAAACAACAACAAGACAAGATTGAAAGAAAAATATTTTCTAATTGGAATTTGAAGTGAAAACCCTCTTTAAAAATTATTAAATGCAAACTAAATATTAACTTTGAACAACAATATATGCAAAATTGTTTACGTGGCCTGGCCAGTGAAATAACAATAAGTGGGAAATAAATGATAAAAATCCTATTCGAGGTGTCTGTGACTAAAGCCAAGAACAAAAACAACAACGTTGACAACAGCACAGCGACGACGACGACCACGAAGTTTTGTAGTAGCGGTTCGCATTCCTCCCCTCCGTGCAACGTCAAGCAGCATAAACCCGTACCATTCTTGTTATTTTCATACGGTTGGTTGTTAAAAGCTGCCGCAGCGCCAATACACGATACGTCATTTTTCACACCACCAGTTCAGTTCACAGCTAGTCAATGGTCGTCGATTGGTTGTTAGCCAGTGGATGAAGCAGCAGCAGCAAAACAAGGTTCTGTATTGACGACGATGATGATGTTTTGGTGATTGGCAACAAAGAAGAAATAGAAAGAAAAATCAAAACAAAGAAATCGAAAACACACGATTGACATCTGTTTTGTGTGGTGTTTGGAGAAAGAGTCTCATCATCATTATCGCCGTCGTAGTAGTTCAGTAATTTTTTTCCTTCATCATGTTTGCCAACATTAAAAGTCGTTTTTTGGCAACGGTCATAGCTCCGGATATGCCGGCATTACCCTCCACCAGCCATGAACATTTGGTTAGGGGTAGTTCAGCATATCATCAACGTATGCTACACCAACAGCAGTTACAGGACAAATTTGCCTACTCCCGCCCACCCTTCCTGCAGCTTTTAACAGCCGATGAGTTGAAGGCCTCAGCTGATCACAATGTGCGACCGATTATTGTGCCCCGAGACATCAGCATATTACCGTGGGGCACAGGATATGCGGAATGTGTGAATTCTGGTAAATCAGAATGGAATGAGGATCAAGGAGCCTTTTGTCGACAAATTTTATCCGATCCCACCCATCAATACCCGGACTTGCCCTACACCTATTTTGGTATATTTGATGGCCATGCCGGCTATGGTGCAGCCTTGGCCGCCTCCCACCAGTTTCATCACATTTTACATGAAAAATTGGTGGATTGTATTGAGCTGTTGTTGCCACGTGAGGGCATGGAAGACCCAAAAGTAAATTCTACATCGCAATCGGTGAATTCTTTTCCCCACCCTAGCCATTTTCAGAGGTCTGTCTCTAAGGATGAACTTATTATGGGTGCCCTGGAGTCGGCGTTTGTACACATGGATTCATTAATAGCCCAGGACCGTGACCGTTATCGCGATGCCGGCGGTTGTACAGCTTGTGTTTCCCTCTTCATAAATGGCAAAATGTATGTAGCAAATGCAGGCGACAGTCGAGCTGTATTGTGCCAGCGCAAGGTGTTGCCCAAAGAAGAGATGTCTGCCCAGCCCGACGGTTCGGAGGGAGCTTTTCCAGTGCCGTTTTCTTTTGATCACACACCTGAGACGGAAAGAACACGTCTCCTGGGAGTTGCTCAATACAAACCACATTTAATGGGTAAATTCTATACTGCCATGGAGTATGCCAAACGCCCACATGAACGTGATTTGGGTCAGCGAATACTATGCCGGCAGGGTACAATGAAGGGATGGACATATAAGACATTGACACGAGATGATTTAAAAATGCCAGTGGTAACAGGAGAGGGTAAGCGTTCACGGCTTTTGGGAACGTTGGGTGTAACCAGAGGATTTGGTGATCATGATTTATTGGCCATTGCCACGGGAACACTGATAAAACCATTCCTTACTGCACAGCCAGAAGTTTTGTTTAGAGATCTCACAAAAATTGTAACCATTCCAGGTATGTAATTCACGTTAATAGAGCATACTTTTAGGATTATGTTATTTGTTTGATATCCCTTTTCCATTGCAGAAGAACAAAACGAAGATGGTGATTACGGCATTTTGGTTATGGCCACTGATGGCCTATGGGACGTTTCCGAAAATGAAGCTGTGGCTCGCACGGTTTTCCAAACTCTACACAAATATCCAACCGAAAAACATCGCTATACAATGGTTGCTCAAGAATTGGTGGCAAAGGCACGTGGCAAAATCAATGATTATGGCCACTGGCGTTTGGCCGATAGCAAAGCAGCAGCCACGGTTGATGATATATCTGTGATTGTGATACCCGTCTATCAGTATTATAAGGAACACATAGAATGGGAACAAAAATGCTTAAGAGAATATCGCGAACGTTTGGAACGTGAGAGAACCGCTGCAGCACAAGCCGTCGAAGCCAAGGAGGACAGCACATCAACGAATGAACAAATTACAAGTTTGGTAAACGGTATAAAAGAAATGGCCCAAGTTGAAATAGAACCGGTACTTAATGAGGAGGATAATGAAAAAGAAAGTGCTGCTGTGACCCAGGGCACAGTTGGAAAAATACAAAGTTTCATAGAAAAAGAACAACAAAGCACAATAGAAAATCAGACAACAAAGGCTGTGGAACTAGACAAAGACGATAAGCATCAGCCAGAAGAAGAATCAACAACGGTGGAGGCGACGAATGACAGTACACCAGAGAACAAAGAGGAAAAGCAACAGAAGATTAACAATAATAATGAATCAACACAAGATCAAGGAGGTAAATATAAAATGATTTTTTGAAACTATGTATTTCAAAATGTTTTTAAATATTTTAGAGAAAGCAAATTCTTGTTCAAATACCAAAGCAAAAATGCATGACTCGGAATGCTAAATTTGAAATTGCACAAGTTGTTTAATAATGATCTCGATATAAATAAACGAACAAATTGCTCACTATCAACAATCGAATGTCTTATCATAAGAGATAAACTGATGAAAAACTTTGTAGTCATAATATGGAAATGTATTCTATGTAATTGAACACTGATGTGTATGAAATTGATTTGATATCGCCACATGAACTAAGAAGAAAATGAAGGGGTTTACTTTCGGTACAATATTCCATAAAGAAGACTTCCAAAATAAACAGCTATTGATTGCTGTGTTCCTTCAATGAAATCTTGTTAAAGTCCAAATTATTAAAGCTGCGAAGTAAAATATTACAAATATTATAATTTTTAAATGTTTATTAAGCCGAAATATGCATTGGAAAGTTAATATTATGCCCCTCATTTAATGAATTTGAAATTAGCCAAATCATCTTAAATGTCAGTAGCCCCTTCCGCACAAAAAAGTAACTTTCAGGACACCTTACTATTCAGGGAACCTAACCATTTTCAATTTTTGAATGGACTAGAAGGATTATAATTGTAATTGTTTAACTGTTTGGATCTAATGCAGTCAGGTACTCCAGGGAAAGTTTTTTTATATACCATGGGGAGAACACTACACCAGAGCTGTGTGGTTTATACAAGGTGTTCTTATCTGTACACTAACAACATTGTTCCTACTTCTCACTAACAACATTGTTCCTACTTCCCAACGGCGTGATATGATGTCTTATCCCCTCCTTCACTTTGTCACTGTGAAATATTCATTGGAGGAACCATAAATAATTAAATAAAGACTTCGGGGAGCATAGCTAATGGAATTCGGACACGTCGACAGGTTGTGGATAGCGGAAAATCAAGTAGGACAGTTGGGAATTGAATAAACAGTCGCTTCCATGATACCTAGACGTTTTAGGTTAAGTTACCGAGTTCTTACGATGGTACGAAGCCTATGACAAGGTCGACTTCTGCTACCACCAGCAGGACGAAGCGAACCCCAAGCTTGAAAAAGACAATGATCTTACTCTTAACCTTGGTAGCGACAGCTTTAAACGACTACAATAAACAATCCGTCAAACCATTGTGGATATGGGAAAGAAGACAAAAATGTCCTGTTCCATTGAAAGATAGATGATTTAAACGACATTATTCACCGGATGTGTTTCAAATTTGGTATTTAAAGTTCGAAATGGATACTACAGTCTATGAAAAATAGTTTGTGCAGGTTCACGTCTTCGTATAGCCCCCCTATATTGGTATCTCCCTATATTCGGTATTTTTATGATTTTATAGACATTACTCACTCATCAAATTGTCTGTGCAGGTCCGGTTCTTGGTATACTCCCATATAATGGTATCTCCCTATATTCGATATTTTGATGATTATAGCGGCATTATTATCCGGAATTGTTTCAAATTTGCTATTTGAAGTTCGTAATGGATACTACAGCCTAAGACAAAAAATTATCTGTGCCGGACCACGTTTAGGTATAGCTATAGCTACATATTCATCGATTTTTTTTCTAGTTTCGCATTTGAATATTGTATTGGCTTATGATAAAGTTGCCTATGCAGGTCCACGTCGTCGTATATGTAGACCCTTATATAACGGCTACATTCAATATTTTTAAGATTTTCAAAGAATTTCTAACGAATTTTTTTTTTTTTTTTTTTTTTTGAAAATTTCCAAATACTTTCCAAATTGTGGAGAGTATTCAAAGCTCGGTCCGGCCGAACTAATAGCTTTTTTTACCTGTTTAAGACTTAAAGTGTATACATTCGTCATTGTTAGAAGTGCTGAAGGTGGTACATATGTTTAGCATTTTTTGCTGGGCAGAAAAAAAAAATTGAAAATAAGAGTTTCGCCTCAAAATATGTGGGATTATCGATCGATTGAAAGGTTCTTGAGATGTTGCATGTCCAACAAATATTTTTTTATATTCTTTCAAAAATTTGCAGTGTTTCTTCCTGACTTTCTTCTGAATTATTCTTTGCCTTGAGAAATCCAATGGCGGTTTTTGCTGCATTGCGTATGACACTGTTTCTCTTAGAACAAGTACATGATCTTGGATAAATGAGAAAAACACCACTTTGTTCTCCGTTGTCCATTTCAACTTCCTTTGCCTTGGTCAAATAACAATTTTATTAAATTATTAAATTAAATGTTTCTTAATTCTGACTTAATTTCAAATATAGTTAATAATTTTCATATTTTCCCCATTTCAGATACCTCCTCACCAGAGAAGAACGTCACGTCGCCATCAAAATCAAAGCAACGTAAAAATCAACGTAAAGATAAGCGTTAAAAATATAAATTCATTGCGAAAAAATAAACCATTAGAAGTTAAATATTAGTTTAGCCGTGTAGACCAACAAAGATTATATTCATACATAACGCAAGGACAGCAAAGTGGTTTTTTCAAAGTGCCGTCAATAAATGATACTATTTAAACTATTAATTATTTAAACCTTTTGTGTTTCTATGTACATTTATTTTGCCTTTGTATTTTTATTTTAGCCATTACAACTATTATTATTAATTATTATTAGCCTATATAAAATGTAATATGTTTAAATTATCAAAGGACTTCTTGACTTTCCATGATAACGCAAACTAATGACTACAAACAAATAGCAAATTCCAGTTTTAAAAATAATACTAGCTACCATAATTTATATATATTTTTTATTAATTTATTGCAAGAGAAAATGATAAACCACACAAAACTTTTCCATAAAAAAATTAATATTGCGGTTTTCATTTTGAAAAAGAAAAGCAAATTATAATCTGCATTCAGCCCTCAACCTCAAGCCAAAATTAACTCAAAACAAAAACAGAAATGCTGCTATTGTTTATTTTACTTAGACATTCTGTAAAATGTATTTGCATTAACACACACCCATATATATTTAAATATACAACATTTATAAACCCAATAAAGGACACAAATACATTCAAAACCTACAAGAGCAAGAAAATGTGAGTGAAAAAATAAAAAAAATTCTTTTCTTAGAAAACTGGCAACCAAAATCAATTAATAAAAATATTTTGCAATAAATTTAGAATTATAAAACACTCAACATAAATCTTTAAAACAAAGAATACAAAAAAACCCAATGTATTTAAAATATATACATAAATAAATATTTAATCTAATATTGTTTATACAAAAAAAAACAAACAGCAAATATTGAAATAAAAACTTAGTTTTAATAAAACAAGAACAACAAGAACAAACAAAAATAAAACTTATAATTTGCATAAAATTCCAAAAAAAACCAACTGTGCTGAATGCATACTCTGTTTATTTTCCCTGTACAGATAAGCGATAGGTAGGTAGGTACAATTTCCAATAGCTACAAAGCTTATCAGTTTTGTGGTGGTAAACATTTGTCAACCCATTTCTATTTGCCTTCTGCCTTCGTCGTCATTACACATTAGACTGTAATTATCAGCAATTTTAGTAATTCATGTGAAATCGAACAACATAGCCTTATTGGAATTTCCTGTATTGCGAGTGAGATATGAAATTGATATTGCACCGAAAAAAAAAACAATAAATGGGATAGTTAGTCTATTCAATAAAGATTGTGATAACCTACTTACAATTTCACCTGTAATCAATATTAAGCCAATGTGTGACGTATGCAGAGCAAAACCAATTTTTGGTTTTGATAGCAGTTATCAAAAAAAATAACGAAAGGTCATCAAAAGTCGTAAGGGCCGACTACATGATGCCCTACACCACTATGCATATTAAGTGGAGTCACCCGTATGGAAGCTATGGCTATATCTGAACCGATTTTCAGCAAATTTGAAGTGTTTTCTTGTATGCTGAATTCAGTCGGGTGTGCCGAAATGTATCCTATTAGGACGAATAATACACATATGGCGCATAATAAAATTGAATTCGGAGCTAAAATTTGGACCGTCTTTTGGACCAAACGAAGGATTTGTGGAAATAATTATCTCAATCGAACCATAAATGTGACCTGATCTTTATTTACAAGTAATAAGTAAAAAAGCTGTAAGTTCGGCCGGGCTGAACTTTGAATACCCTCCACCATTTGGAACAAATTTGGTAATTTTCAAAAAAACAAAAAAAAATATCTGTTAAAATTTTAATAATACTGAATGTAGCCGTATATTAGGGTCTATACGAGGACGTGGACCTGCATAGGCAACTTTTGTCATTATCATTACAATATTCAAAAGCGAAACTAAAAAAAAAATCTATTCATAATCTAGCTAAAATCATCAAAATACCGAATAGAGGGAGTTACCATGGAAGTTATTAAACGTGGACCTGCGCAGACAATTTTCTGTCATAGGCATATTATCCAATACGAACTTTAAATACTAAATTTGAAAAAAATGCTGGTTAATAATGTCGCTAAGATCATCAAACTACAGAATATCGGGAGGTACAGTTATATGGGGGCTATACGAAGACGTGAACCTGCACAAACATTTTTCTGCCATAGGATGTAGTATCTATTACGAACTTCAAATGCGAAATTTGAAACAATTCCGGTAAAAATTGCCGCTAAAATCATCAAAATACCGAATATCGGAGGTACCGCTATATGGGGGCTATACGAAGACATGGACCTACATGTTCCATTTTCTGTCTTAGGCTGTAGTATCCATTACGAACTTTAAATACCAAATTTGAAACAATTCCGGTAAATAATGTCTCTAAAATCTTCAAAATACCGAATATCGGGAGGTACCATTATATGGGGACTATACCAAAACGTGGACCTACATGGCCCATTTTCAATACCAAAAGTCCTGCAGACATAACATACATTTGAGTAAAATGTTATCAATCTACTTCAATTCGTTCGGAAGCTAGAGTAATTTCCACAGACGGACGGACATTGATAAATCGACATAGAATTTTATGCTGATCAAGAATATATATACTTTGTGGGATCTAAAATGTATATTTCGAGGTGTTACGGAATGACAAAGTTAATATACCCTCCATACTATGGTGGAGGGTATAAATATGTGATTCTATGAAGACCGTCAAAAGGTACTGTGATTCTATTTCGTTTCCTTCTGCATGTTTTCAACAAATACAAAAAGACCACAGTGTGGCGTAGGGTATTTAAAATAGGGAACAGGTGATGATTTGGTGCCACTCTTAAATAAAATTTGTTATTGCTCTGACGATTTTGAAAAACCATACTCTCCCCAAAAATCAAATGAACATAATTTTTATATTTTTTTATTTTCAATTTTTAAAATAATTTTCATTTTGTTTTTTTTATTCTGTTATTTAAATATAATACATAATTTGTTTTATTAAATTCTCATTTTTATTATAATCAATAATATATATTTTCATAGGCTACATAGAAATTATTTGAATGTTTTTTTTTAATTTTGTAATTAGTTACCATTGGAATTTTGTAAAAAAACCTAAATGCAGAGAAATATTTTGTAGCTAAAAAATATAAAATTAAAAAAGAAAACGAATACAGTCTATAGAAATTTTGCTGAATAATCAAAATTTTAAATGGAAATGGTTTTTTACGTGGAATACTGAAAACAAATAGGTAAGTGGGAGTCTGAAGCTAAGATTGGGAGGATGAAATGGAATTCAAAATGTGATATACAATTTTTTCTTTACAATAAAATTCAATGAATTAATTTTTTTGGTAGCTTTGAAGATATGGACCATGCATATTTGGGTAATACGGCCCTACAAAAAATTTTACCATAGAGGGGAAGGTGGACATTTTTGTAAGGTGGGTGGGGTATTAGGTAGGCCTGGTTAAAGATAGGTCCAGTATTATATTTTCTGATTAATGAATAGAATATTAATATCCCCTTAAAAGGGAGTCTTTATGTTCGACATTTTCGTCTGAAAGTGTAGATAAGATCTAAATGGGGTTCTGTTTTATACTGTCGTTCCACAATTCTTTACAAAGGAAGTATTATTGACATGTTCTTGATATTTGAACTTATACTTCGTTTAAACGGCATCGTAACTTGTCCGCGAACCAAGGCCGGGAACAATAGAGTCTTGGGGATATTGTGTTAACTTTACTCGGAGATAGCTGTGGTCTGCCCATACGAACATGAACATGCTTTCGAATGTGAATCAGCATCAAATTTACAAAAAATCTGATTTACATCAGAGGATCCCCGGCAAGTGTTCGGGTTTAATAATGCATTCCCATAATGGACCATTTTCAACCTGTTTGGGTTTTTATAAAAAATCGGGTCCAAAAATACATAGCTCAAGATGGCCCGTCCCCTAAAAAAAAAATCTTCTGGAATCAGGGTACCTACACAAAAAACGCTAAAAATTCCGAAAGTTTTTACTAGAGTTGTTCCTGGACCTAGGAAGACAATGTTTTAAACCCAGTGGTAGAAGCCATCACGAAGTACGAATACCAAAATTAAAACAAATTCGATAGACAATGTGATTAAAGTGGTCAAAATACCGTATATTCGAAGGTTACGCTATATGGGGCTATAGGAAAACGTAGCTCTATATAGAAATTTAATGACACAGGCGGGAGAACCAATAACGAACCCATGGTACTGAATTCTAAACAAGCATTGCAAAAACTACCAATGGATCCAGAAAAGTCACAGTTTGATGCGATTTATGCGCTGGTGGCATCATTAGACAATACTTCTTTAAAGATGCTGCGAATCGTAACGTAAATGAAAAAGCTCCCCCCTCCGTGAGATGATATCCATTTTTTGCCTAATATGTAATAACTTGACTTCAATGATATGTGGTTTCAACAAGACGGTGCCACATAGCACGCACGCATAACAAGGGACTTATGAAGGGGCGAGTTCGGTGAAAAATTGGGCTATGGGGGCTATGTTAAATATCGTTTCGAGCCCGCAAAATTTAAGCATTTCTTTTCGTCAGATACCGACTGAACGTAAAGAGTATGCCAAAATTGGAGTTAGCGCTTGGACTATTTAAGGTGCAGTCGTGGTCTTCGTTTGCTTGAAATAAACTTCAAACTTTAAAATTTATGGAACGTACTATCAATTCAAATAGACTCCATGCATTATTCCAATTTTTTTAATCGTTAAATTCATATAGGCGTTTAAATGGACCACATGCACAGATAAACGTACCACTAATTCAGTAATGCAGAGGATAGCCTGTCTCATTGTGTAAGACGTTAAAAGATTTATTTTTTTTAGAGTTTTAATGCCTTTAGACTATTTTTTGGGATATGTTAAAGCTCATGTCTATACAGATGAACCAGATCAGATATCAGCCAAAATATTGTAAAAAGTGTGCAAAATTGGAATTAGCGAATTAACCATTTAAGGTGCAGTTGCGGTCTTCATTTGCTTGAAATAATCTCCAAAATATAAATTATGCGGACCGTGCTATCAATTTAAATAGATTCCATGTATTATTCTGAATTTTTTTTTCTTTGAAAAAATTACTGTAGCTCTTAAAAAATCACCCATTGCTTAGTCATTAAATTCATGTAGGCATTTACATAGACCGCATACAGAAATAAACAATACGATGTAGAATAGCATTCAGTTACGCAAAATATAGGGATTAAAAATCAGAGTGTGAGACATTAAAAGATTGTATTTTGCTTTGGATTTTCCTAAATTAATTAACAACATTTTATTAAAATTTTATTTAATTATTTAAAAAAAAAATATTGGAATACACATATTTTAAATGTTGTCTATATAAAATGTATTTACCTTTTTATTTATTTTATTAAGTTATAAATGTAAATATTATTTCGTTCTTTTTATATAATTTCAATAATGTTGTATACTTTTATTTATATGCATTGTTTGCGTTTTTTTTTTGTTGTTTGCTATTAGGGATAAAACTGTGTCAGCAATAATTAACATTTTTTCATTTTCTTTTTATATATTTTATTAGTTTTCTTTTAATGTGGGGGGTAGGGGGACAATTGGTTTGGATTGTTAATATATATTTATTTAATTATTTATTTTAACTAAATTCTTTATTTTGTTTATGGAAATATATTTAAATATATAATTTTGTTATCTTTTTTATATATCAAATTATTTATTTTTTTGCAATACATGTTTTCTTGGCTTTGATTTATCTTTTTCTTCTTCTTCGTTCATTCATTAGCTAATATTTTTCACAAAAATACATGATTTTCTTTTTGGGTTTCTTAAGTAGTTCTAATGTTCTTTTGTTCGTTCTTTTCGTTATACAGGTAATTTGTTTTTATTTCCTATTACATGTCGTTCTTATTGTTTTGGGTTTCGGAGAGTTAAGGAGGAAGAGTTACAATCATTTTTTTTGTGTTTTTGTTTTGTAAGAGGCTTGTTTTGAGTTAAGAAAAAATTAGAGGTACTCGGAGCAATTAAGAGGGTTTTTTTGTTTTTTTTTATTTTGTATACTTTTTATGTTTGTGTAAATAAACATTTTTTGTAAATGTAAAATACATAGCTCAAGTAAATTATTAATACTGGTATTCAAAATAAAACAAATAGGATGTTTCTGAATAAAAAGGGATTTTTCATTCTTTTCCATTTTAAATCTCTCTGTTTTCTATAAGGAAAACAGATATTTGTTTGAGATCAGAATCCCATTGTTCTGAAATGAATTAAAGAAATATCTAAATATCTGCCAAATGGCAGGAATGTAAATGCCAATTTCAATACCATGGATAACTTAATTTAGTCTCTTTAACTGGCCAATGAATTTATACCCTAACAAATGCTACAAATGACATCTAAATGCAATAGATTCCAACGTATTTTTTAATCTATTATTTATAATACCAATTGAGTTTTGTTTGAATACCTTTTGACTTAAAAAACAAAAAAATATTTTATATTGAGAACGGTCCATATCATGTTGTGGTTTTGTGTGACACACATACAATACAGATACTAATTAAAAATTTGTTATCTTAAAAAACAACATCTATTGCTGTGGTTGTGGGATGACAGCGTACACCATTTGCACATGTAATTTATAGTATTTCATTTTTATTAAATTTAATTCGACTTGAGGTCAAGTAAACTTATACTTTATTTCATGGCCTGCTAGTTTTATCCTTCTGCTGAACGAATATTTTTAAAAACAAGGCTGGGAAATATTGCGACATTACTTTGAAAATTCTTTTAGAATGGAGAGAAACTTAAAGCTTCAACACACAATATTAAAAGTGGGGACAATTTAATACAGGAATCAATGCTTCCGAATCTACGGATTCAGCTTGCGTTGAATATATGATCTAATTTCTAGGTTATTTTAAATTAAATGATGCGCGGTTGAGAAAAAGAGAACGAGAATTGGTGACATGAGCGACCCTAATGTCTTCTCAGAGAGCGCCGGCCAATTTTTCTTTTTTTTTTTTGCTAAGTTTTTTGACAAAATTGGCATAATGGTACTTTCAGTTTAGTGTTGGATATCGGCATAGATAGCAGGTCTGGTCTTAGGTAATAGATCGGAACAGCCTAAGCTAAATAGCGCTGCATGGGTTTTTACCAATGCACAGTGGTGCCAAACCGTGAGAAAAAAAAAAAACAAAACATGAATGTAAAAAATTTTAACGTTTGCGCTGCAATGTTAGTAGAGGTACCATTATATTGGAGGTACTTTTGGACAATTTTTTGCAAAATATTGCACTCATAATCCAAAATGGCAAATTGTATCAAATTCTGTTGAAAATGTCAAAATCTTCGTTTGAAAAAAACGTGGCAAAACCCCATCAAATAATTTGAATCAGGGGTGGGAGTTATATTAAATTGAGGTACCCATTAATAACACCAAATGACATATTACAGTCCATTTCAATATAAATGTTTCCTAAATCTTGAAATTTCCCTAAATCGGATGGTATTATTATCAATTACATTACTTTTTACTCAATATGACACTTTACTAAACAAAATCAAATCTAAACATTTCCGTTACAACTTCCAATGCATATGGGATCACTGTATACTATGGGCTGCAACTGTTTAATTTTTTTAATTGTGGAACCTTACAGACGCTTCAGAAACGGAAGGGCGACAGGGGCTGATGTGTTCAGTGAGCAGCATTTCAAGCAGAAAAACTTTGAAAGGTAAGTTGGTCACAGTGTATGTAGACGTGTTTTCAATCTTAACCGATGCCCATAGTTTATAGATAGAGCCAAAGCAAGTCGGGCTACATCGGTCCGTCGACAAGTGCCCTAAGGTTCAGTGAAAATTATCTAGGCAGAGGCTAAAAGCTTAGTCATTTTAGATTGTATCACCATCTTTACAGACACTTCAGAAATGGATGAGGCGACAGAAGCCGATTTGGATTGGATGCTATGTAAATTTCGAGGTAATTTGATCACAACAAATGTAGCCATGTTTTCAATCGTAACCTAAGGCTGACCAAAAGTTATAGATAGAACCAGCCCAAGCCAAGTCGGTTTGCATCCGTTTTCATAAATTCATTTTTTAAACTTATGGTCAAGTTTTAGTCGTCGAGATATACCATGAGGCTCAGGAAAAATTATCTAGGCAGAAACTAGGAATTTAGACATTAACTAGGAGTTTAGACATTTGTAACATTACCATCTTTACAGACGTTTCAGAAATAACGGAGGCGACAGAAGCTTCAGTGAGAAGCATTATAACCAGACAAACTTTGAAATATTGGATGCAATGGAAATGTTGGAAAAGTTGGTCACAATATATGTAGCCGAGTTCTCAATAATAACCTATGACAACTCATAAGTTATAGACAAAGCCAGCTCAAGGCAAGTTGGGCTGGATCGGTTTTATCAATTTTTTAAACTTATGGACAAGTTTTAGTCGTCGAAAAGTGCCCTGAGGATCAGGGAAAGTGATATAGGCGCAGTTTAGACATTTTAGATAGCATCACAATCTTATAGTAGTATAATGGAAAAAGCGACAGGGTGTTCAGTGAACATCATTTCAAGGAGAAAACTTTCAATATTTTGGAAATCATGTTAAGCTTTTGCTGGACTTTATTCTTCCAGAAGAGATCTAAAAATCACAAATGTTGTGTGAAGTATGTCTACTCTCTTCCTACCGTCTCTCTTCCTTCAAAATTCTTTTGTTGCAAGGGACATTTTCTTCAGAGAAAGGATCTGCTAAAGTAGAGTTCCAAATCGTGGTTTGAACCGACATCGATCACGTTTTATATTTCAAGGTAAAGGAAATGGTATGACAATACTCATAGCCTTGAATTTATGAAAGACTAAAAAAAATTAATGCTGTTTCGAGTAGAACTTAGGTTGTTCCGGTTGGTATATCCAACAGTCGTGGAAACGTTATTTTTACTAGGTCTGCTTATTTTTTGTATTTCGAACAAATTCGAAAACCACTCATCTTTCAGAAAACCCAGATTAGTATAGTATATGACATCATATTAAGCTTTTATATAGAACCTTGGACATTCGTTCTTTTCCTAGAAACTAAAGCCGTCTTAAAAGAATCGAGAAATTCAGAAATATTTTGTGGAATATACTTTTCCTTCTCCTTTGCACAATGCCTCCAAATTAATTCAGTTGCAGGGCATTTTTTATCGGTACATCGAATTAGAATATTCTTCTAAACGCGACAAGGTGTTAACAATTGAATGACAAATTTTACCGATTTTACCGATGTTTGTCGGCAACCCAAAAATCAGTTAAAGAATGTCACTACAGGTCCTTCGAATCGTATATTTAATAGTCGTTAAAACGTCATCGTTACTAGATCTGATTATTTCTCGTTTTGTATTTCGATCTAATGCGTAAAAGATGATCAATTTCAATTAAAAATTTCATTTCATTAATTTTTTCGTTCGAATTTTTTTAAATTACATGTGCAAATGGTATAAAGAAATGTTTAAAACGTGTATAAAATTATAAATTTTCTATTGATGTTTTATTAAACCTTTAAAGGTCGAAAAATAAACATTTTTCTTTAAATAAAAAATACATTTATGGATAAAATATAAAAAAAAACATTAACTAGATTCGTTACTCGTTCGTAAATATAGCATGGGGCGGGTAATGTTTTAACTTCTTGTACACAATAATGATTATAATACAATAAAATTGAGAGTTTATAATAAAACAATAATAATGATGATCATAATAATTATTATATATATAAAAAAACATAACTATATATATGTTGTGTTTAATGCATATACATGTATAAATATAATATGGAAAAAAGTTGTTATTAATAAAAGCAAATTACACATAGATATACTAATAATTATTATTATAAAAAAATAAAACCAGTTATTTAAAATGAGAGATATAATTAAAATATATATAGAATTTCGCTATAAAATAAATAATTAACTTGTTTGCATTTGTTGTTTTCTTTTATAAATGGAAGATTTTGTTTTGCTGAGAACTTCTTTGGGGTTTTGCAGACAAAAATAGCTTTAAAGAAGTTCTGCTTTATAGTGTTTTTTTTTTTTTTTGAGGATTTCATCATTTTTTTTTCTCTTTCAAATATACATATTTTTTTATATAATTAAATATTTTTGTTTGTTTATAAAGTTATTAATATTTTTTTATATATCATCAGTAGTAAAAACATTTTGTGCTCTTTGTTTGGTTTTCGTGTGTGATTTTGTTTCTTGTTTTTTGTTGTTGTTGTTTGTAGAATAGAAAAAAGTAAGCCAGTGGTTCACAACTCGTGTTATGCAAATGTTTTGTTTTAATTTCTTTTTTTAAGATTTCATTTTAAAGATTATGTTTTGTTTGTTGTTTGTCCTTTCTATGTATAGTTTAAAGCTTTACTATTTCCAAAAAAGTATAAGGAATCCCATGACATTCTTGCCAACGCTGCTGTTGCTGCTGCTTCCGCTTCTGCTACAAACAATTATCGCAAAATGTTAAGCTTCAATTTGACAATGAAAAATGTTACCCAATTTTGCATTTTCGATTACGTCTTCAAATTGGCACGATCTTTGGCACGTCGCTTGGCCAGCATTGAATCGGCTACTGGCCCCACATTGGCCGCCTGTGGAATGGCAATGGCCCGAAAAGTGGCATCGACAGCTCCACGCAAAGCCGCATTAGCTTCTCGTGCCGTATTGGCATTACTGGCAAAACTCGTTGCAGTCGTCGTCGCTGCTGCACTTGGCTGGTCCTGATGCGATGGCACATAATATTCCGTTAAACGTACAGAGCCGGCCTTTTGTTCCGTCAACCAAGGATGTTTTAATATCTTAGCTGCAGTTGGTCGATTTTCGGGTACTATATGTAACATTTCTCCCAAAAGTTCCTTGACGGCAGTGGAAATGTTTGTCCAACGTGGTGCCGAAAAGTCAATGTGTCCCGAACCGATACGTTTTAATATCACTCCCGGTGAATCATTGGGTGTTGAGGCAAACGGTGTACGACCCGATAACATAATGTAAAGCAGTACACCTAATGACCATATATCACATGCCAAATCGTAACCTTGACGTTTTAATACTTCGGGTGCAACAAAATTAGCCGTATAGCATGGTGTCATCAGCAGGCCATTGTCGGCACGTAATTGTTTGGCGAAACCTAAATGTGAGTGGGAGTTAAGTAGTGAATATTGAGAGCATAAAAATATATAGAATATATTGTGATCATGGAATGTCTTGTATCTGATAAAGGAACTGGTAGTAGAACGAGAGCGTTACTGGATCGTGGATTTTTCTAAACATTTTTAGGACTATCAGATCTAAAATTGTTAAATTTGAAAAAGTATATTTTCTAAACGATTGTCGAATTTAAAAACGTAATTCTTAATTCTTAAAATTTGAATTTTTTAACGATTTTTGAAGTTTAAATTGAAAAAAACGTCAATTTGTATTTTTTTTTTTGGTGTTTGGGACCCTTTATTTCTTTAGGATTTTGAAAAATTGTGAATGTAGATATTTAAAAAAAATCGATTAAATATTATTTTTCTTTTTTTGAAAATGTTGAGAATATTGATATTTTAAAACTTTGAATACGTAGATTTATTTATTATTTTTTAATAAAAAAGAAGATTTTTAGAATTTTTTTTAAATTCAAGATTTTAAAATTTTTTGAAAAAAAAATTGTTTTGAATTTGAAAAGTGTATTATTTCCGGATTAAAAATTACATATTTTTAGATTTTTAAATTCAAAAACATAAATTTTTCCAACATTTCATAATGAGGTTTATTATACGCTCAGCCAGGGTGCCTCAGTTTTGATTCTACGTTTCTTTGGACCAAATCCGTTTCAAGACATTTGCAGTCGATCTAGCGATGTCCGTCTATTTGTCTAGCTGGTGCGCACGATTTGATCCAAACTTGGTACATCGTAATATTATTGTCAAGTTTAGATCGAGTGCGAAAATGAACAATATCGGCCCACTCCATCAAGTACCTCCCCCACAAAGGGTCAAAATTTTGAATAATTAAAACTCTTATAAAATGTGATGTAAAAATCTGATTATCTTCAAATTACACACATCATAATATTTTTATTAAACCTGGTGTAAAGATAGAATATATCGACCCACACTTTCTGGTACCTTCCCAAAAAAGGGTCAAAATTTTTAATATCCATGAAGCTCACAAAACACAAAATTAACATCCGATTCCACTCAGGCTTGGTACATCTCAATATTTTCATAAACACAAGATCTGTTATAAAGATGGTAAAGATCAGACCATTTCTCCTGGTACCTCACCTACAAAGGGTTGAAGTTTTGAATAACCAAAATGATCATAAAATCCTAAACAAAAACTCCCGGTTCTCTTTAAATTACACACCTAACAATATTTTTATTAACCTAATGTCTGGTGTGAAGATGGAATATATCGGTCCACTGCTTCTGGTACCTTCCCCACAAAGGGCCAAAGTTTCGAATAAAATGTTTTCAAAATTTTCCACATATCTCATATAAAGTATAGGAAGTGGTCAATATAATCCAATCCTGTAAACTTTGTAATATTTTTATCAGTCTTAGGTCAGATACGTAGATAGGTCATTTTTGTCCAATTGATCCGGAACCTCCCCCATAAAGGGTCAACAGTTTGAATAATCATAACTCAAGGTATATACATCTGTCGGCAAAACCGATTGACACTATTTTACTTGTTTTTATTAAATTTAATTTTTTTTTTAATTAAATTTCAAATTAAAAACTTTTCTAATATTTTATAATGTGGATTTTTTTAATTTTTTTTTTTTTGAATCAAATTGCAAATTGCCTTTTTAAGTATTTCTGTAAAATTTAATAATGCGTCTCTTTGAAGCACTATATTAAAATGTATACGTCACCAAATCCAAATAACTAATACATCACCTTACACCTAAATGAAAAACAAAACAAAATACTTTTATAATCCTCGTCATAAATATTTAAGACAATTTCTCAGAAAAAAATATTCCTTTCCTATTAAGCACAGCAAAAGGCTAACGATTTATTTATCTGTAGCTGTAATTGATATAGAAGAATAGAAGCTGGAGCATACACACACATATATATACGCTCAACCATTTATATTCTAGTGTAATATCCAATTAATTTGATTAACATTTCATCATGTATTGGAACATGGTGAGGGCGGTGGGTGTTTAGCAAACATTTAAGCGTTTCATTGGAAATTATTATCAATTACAAATCAAATAAAATAAAAGTCTATAAATATATAGACTTCAATATGCTTCACAAAGCGGTCGGTGGTAAACAAGTTGAAAACAAATGTGGTATTATATTTTTTGGTACGAGGTGCCGGGGCAGAAGTTTTTGGTAAAAGGCAAAAGAGGAAAAAAATGAGGAGAATGAATTTAACGTATGGGAAAACAGTTTGTGATGACATTAGAAATTTATATCCGGACAGAAAAAAATAATTACTGAAGATTATATTCTGGAGCCTTTATAGCCTACCTTTCAGCTAGTATAACCTAACTTTCATCTGTAGACACAAAGCCAAGGGCTGTAAACTTGCAGACATATAACGACGTGACAGGTTTGGAGTATATTGACAACATTTTTTGGAAAATGTTGAACTTTTGTTCGGGAGGTATCAGAAACAGTGAACTAAAGTACTAAAGTACATTTTAAAACTTCATCTAATACTGATTAAAATATTGGGGGTGTGCAAAGTGAAAAGAAAATCGAACAAGAATTTTCAACTTTATGTGAAAGACTTTTAATAAAAATTTAATTTAATCGCATACTCCCTTCCAGTTATCGGGCGCTGCAGCCAGACAGATGGACGGACGGATACCGCTAGATCGACTCCAAATGCCCTGAAAAGGATTTCGTCCCAAGAGACCAAGTGTCTAAAATTGTAATTTCTCAGAAACTCCTACAAACAGAAATCTTTCCTGTCATAAAGGCCATAGATCTACGGGCAATCAGAAAGAGGTTCGGTGACTATATATGTCGTACTGTCTCTAAGAGCATTTCCCTTTACTATCTGGGAGAAGATCAAGATTGCTCATCTCTAAAAAAATTGAGGAAATCAGGCTTAAAATTTGTGGGGGAAACAATCACAGGGTACTGCAACTTAAGGGCCATCACTTCTAAGTGGGGTGACGACCAAAGCGAGTGCTGCAGGATCTGTCAAGATGAAGAGGAAACTGAAACGGTAGATCACTTACTCTGGAACTGTCCAAATTTCTTTGGTTTAAGACGTAGGCTTAAGTGGAAATTTTTCACGATATTTTTTTAGCCGGGACACTAAATCGAGTAAGGGCGACACGTTAACTTCTTCGTGGATAACAATAATATTTTTCTTTTCTGATCCCCTTTTCCTGTTTTTTTTTTTTTCTAATTAATGGACTAGTTGGTCTCCGAGCTGAGTAGTTGTTACAAAGTAACCGTGCATTCTTTTTCTATTTATAGAACACATCTGGAACATTAAATTAAGGTCCTAAAATACTTCAACTCGAAAGGTACGGCATCAAAATAGTAACCTATGTATACACATCTCTTCCAATCGTATCAGTCATAATTCTGAAACTTTATGACAAAATATCAATATTTTCTTTTGATCCCTTTCGCTACGAAATGAAATATGTAATGTTAAATAATATTTATTGAACAACAACGGCTATTGTTCAATTGAATTGTACTATTAGCTACAAATTGACTTTTGCAATGGTTGTTTGACCCCATTGAGAGCAAGACAAACACATGTGCTGCTAACACTCACTCGGTGGGTGGTTGGGTAGTTGGAAATGACACAAACGGTTATGTGAATATGAAGCAAGGATTGCGTAGCAAGCAGCATGGAAACATACGCAGACAAAAATATACACCCAAATGTTTTGTTATTATTGTAAATCCCATTTTACTATAAAACAACAATAAACAGTCAACCCGGGTTAAAAATAACCAATGAATTTCTGATGTGATAAAAAAGACATGTACAATAAGGCCGGTGTATCCTTTTCATCCTGTGACTTTTGTCTACCAAAAATCAAAATTACAAAAAAACTTTTTTACTTTTCACAAGTTATTCAATTCACAACAACAACAAAAGTGAGAAATGAACTACGACAACGATGATTCTGTCGTGTAAGTCACCAAAAGCCAAAGACCTTAAAAACCAAAGTATGTTCGTCGTTCGTCCAGCAGTTGTTGTGGTGGATGATTAAGGGTGGTTCTAATAATAGAAATGATCTTACATGTAATAATAATTGAGGGTGTTCGTGGGTTTTCTTGTATCTGCATTTAGACAACAACTACCATGTAGGTATATGCGTGTGGGAGGAGGGTGCATTTAAATGCGTGGGTCGCCCACGTCGCAATAAAAGAAAGTTGTTGTTTGGCACTTTGACTGGTTGTGATTTTTGAAAATTGTTTGTTTATGTAGGTATTTAACAACATGTGGTTGGTTTGTGTTGTGTCGCTTTAAAGACAATTTTGTTATTGTTTGTAAAAAAAATGACTTGCACATATCTATGAATGTATGTATGTAGGTTTAGATTTCCACCATATCTCTTTGGCTTCGTGTTCTTCTTCTAAGGGAAATAGTGGCCTGAGATAAAGAAAATTTAAGCAGAAGCCGAAATAGAGAATTCATTATGTTAATTTAAGTATTTGTGTGTGGCGGCGAGATTATGTCGGTCGCGGCCGTTTGTGTGGGAGTTTATTTAATCTGTGGTCGGCGGCACTCTAACATATGTTGTCATATTTGGCTACCGGCTTAAGATCTATTTCATTTGTTTTCTGTTTTTCCTTTGCTCATCTATTTTTTTTTTTTTTGGTTATTGCTGTGTAGACAAGGATTAATGTGTGAGACAAGAGCACACAACTAAATGCCAAAAAGATAATTCATTTGTTTATTTTGTGATTTGGAAGACGTCGGCTCACTTTGAAAATAATATTTAGTCAAAAAATCCTTTGAATAGTCCACGTTGAGAGTACATAAAACTCTTGAAAGGATCAAAGTTTAGGACATAAATGTTTCTCTTAAAAAATTACATTATAGGTCACAAATAGCCATTAATAGGTTGACATTGAGGACATTCTGTGTCTTGGAAAATTTTGCCTTAAAAAGGGATCTCGCTGGGACCACTCCTAAAAAACTGTTTCCAAGGCACAAACATTCCTTGGACATTTTTTCATTATACCCTCAGCCATATGGCCACAGAGGTATACAGGATGAGATGAAAAAACTGCAACCAACTTTAGACTGCTGCCATTTCTAAGCCACTCGTCCGAAGCTGTTAATAATATTCCAGTGCCAGTTCATTATATTTTTTAGAAGCGTACAAAAGCATTTTGGTGAGAACTTTCCAGAAAAAAGTTATTCGTGATGGAATTCAAGCGTGATAGTGTGATTTTTTAATATTTGGCTGGAAAACCACAAGTGGCTATCGTTAGAGTACTCCAACATTTTAAATGTGAATAAATCTTCTGTGTTTCGTACCATCGCTCGTTACCGTGATACTGGTAGCGTAGCCCGACGTCAAGGAAGTGGATGGAAAAAAACAGCAACATCAGCAGAAATGGTTCGAAAAGTAAAGAAGCAACTTGATCGTAAACCACGTCGCAGTGGCCGAAAAATGTCTCGTGAGCTGAACATATCGCAATATTCCATTCGGCAAATATTGAAAAATGAGGTCGGAGTAAAGCCATTGAAATTCGAAAAAGTGCAAGAACTTACACCGCAACTGAAAGAAAATAGACTCAAAAGAGCTGCAGAGTTGCTTCGCTTGGCCGAAAGTGGTGAACTGCCGAATTTGGTTTGCTCCGTTGAGAAAACATTCGTTGTGCAGCAGTTTGTAAAAAAACAAAATTATCGTGTTTACTTGCCAAAGAGGTCAGATGAAAATGTGCACCTTCGGTTGGCCACCAGAACTTAAGTGCCGGTCATGGTGATTGTGTGGGATGGTCTCTCTCCGTTGTGTGGGATGGTCTCTCTCCGTAAATGCCGAATATTGTCGAAATTAGCGAAAATATTCTGGAGGGTGTATTAAAGCCTTGGGCACGCAAACATTTTGGCCGCAGAACTTGGACATTCCAACAGCACTCAGCACGCAGCACCCAAGAATGGTTACAAAATGAGGGTCCTCGGATCATATCCAGCGCACATGGGCCACCAAAATCTCCGGATATCAATCCGTTGGACTATTGTGTCTGAAGGATTTTAGAAAGCAAGATTGGCACTAAAAAATACCTAAGTGTCGATGACCTCAATCAAGCGCTTCGCCGGGAATGGGCCAAAATACCGTAGAGCAACATTCGGGTAGCGTGTGACGGTTTCATTGGTCGTTTGAAGGCCATAATTCACGTTCTACTTTTGTGGACAATTATTGTTTTTAAATAGTGCTTTAAAAAAAACATCAAATGTTGAGGGTATAGATAGTTCCTGAAATGTTTTAATAATAAAATCGACGCTTATGGCACAACAATGGATCTAAAACTTGTTTAAAAATCGTAAAAAACTGAAGGAGTTTATAACGCTGAAGGCATCTCAAGAAATGTTTTGGGAAATCCACCTATTCAAGACTTAAGGTTCCTTAAAGGGTCTTTAAAAATAACATTTAAACGACAAGCCGACTTCATAACCCTGAAGGTATCTCAAGAAATTCCTTAAGAAATCCACCCTTTCAAATCTTAACTTCCCTAGATCGTCTTTAAACATATCTTTTATAAAGCCCTTGCTCTCCATAATCTATAAAAATGCTTAAAAGCTTTAACAAATCGTAAAGATTACAGAATTCTTACTCTTTTATAGCTCAGAAGTCTTTACCTCTTATAGTACGAAATTTCATTAAAAAATAAGCCTCAAAGCTTCTTCAAATACCCATTTTCAAAAGTTTCCAAAATCTGAAATAATTATTCTCAAGGTTTAGAAGGTTTTAGAAAAATCCACGCAGATAGCTCTGAACGTTCCTATAAAACTTCAAATATCCACTTCGAAAGCACGAAGTCTTCGAAACGTCTTAAAAATAAAGCTTTCATCTCTGACCATTCATAAAAAAATGGCACAGATTCTACGCTCATTCAATTTTCCAGTCCATCTAAACCGTCCATTGTGTTTCATATCTCCCACTCTTCTTTTTTCTTGTTCTCTCTTCACATACTTACCCAAATCACAGAGTTTCAACGTTTCCGGTGTTTGCTTCATACTCGCGTAAATCATATTCGATGGCTTTAAATCACGATGCACCACACCGTGTTCATGCAAATAGGCCACTGCAGATACCATTGTCCTTAGCACAGCACTAGCTTCACTTTCACACATTTGACCAACAGCCAAAATACGATCCAAGAGCTCACCACCCTTCAGCAGTTCCATTACCAAATATGCCGATGATGAATCTTCGTAGACGGAAAATAGTGTTACAATATTTGGATGATTGCCATAGCGCAACATAATTTCAACTTCCTCCCAGCAATCCGACGAAGATGAATTCGCCATATATGCAGCTTTTTCTATTATCTTAACAGCAAAATGTTTCTTGGAGGCTTTGTGCTCACACAGACGGCAAACGGAAAATGTGCCACGACCCAGCTCCTGCAGCACATTGTAGTCGTTGTGGAAATTACCCGGCAGGACGCCGGGTAGCGTGCGTGCTGGCTCTTGACATGGCAGATAGGGAGAGGGCGGTGATTGTGTGTCATTGTTGAGGGTTTGTTCCAATAGCATGGGAGCAACAAAACTAAATCCACGAAATATTTCATGGGCTGAGGCGGAAATCGGTCCTCCAGGTGAGTCTCTGGGCGATTTTGATGTGTACTCCACATCAAAGTAGAAGGCATCGTCGCGTGAAACTGCAGGTATAAATGGGGGCCGTACCTCTTTCCTTTCCAAGCGAACCCAGTCGATGGTGGCAAAGAAACAATGGGCCTTAATGTCCAAAATGCCATTGGGTCCTGCACCCAAACGATTTTGGGGATTTCGTTTGAAAAGAGCTCTCAACAAGGCCTGGGCTTCGGGTGAAAGATTTTCTGGCATACCCAATTTAGATCTTAGGATTTGTGTCATGGTCTCTTGGCGAGTTTGGCCATGGAATGGTAAATTACCCGTCAACATTTCATACATGAGTACACCAAAAGACCACCAATCGGCAGCAAAATCATGACCTTTGCGATTGACAATTTCCGGTGCCATATATTCCACAGTACCACAAAAGCTATAGGTCTTCGAACCATCCAAAGGCTGTTTCGAAAGACCAAAATCAGTCAGGGCAATGTGACCATTTTCATCTAGGAGTATATTTTCAGGTTTCAAATCACGATAAATTATGCCCAAGGAATGCAGGTGATTAAGAGCCAATGCCAGTTCAGCCAAATAAAACTTCACATCTTCTTCGGTGAACATTACCTCTTTGGACAGACGAGTAAACAGGTCACCACCACGTAAAAAATCCAATATCAGATACAATTTACCCGGTGTTTGAAAGGCATAATGCAGTTTGACAATAAATGCATGACCCACATCAGCCAATATTTTACGTTCGTTTGTGCTGCGCACTCTGTCCTTGATCTTCAATGTGGCCTTTTTCAAAACCTTCATGGCGTACAAAGTACCCGCATCTTTGCCAATGATTTTACGCACCAGAAACACTTTGCCGAAAGAACCTTCGCCCAGAACACGAAGTAATTCAAATTGTGAAGGATCTGCTTTGTCATGGCCTTCTTTGATGACCTCCCGTATGTCAAATTCGTTTTCCCTCAGCTCACAATCGCCTAAACCCGCAGACTGGCCCGTCGATGAATAACACTCGGAGTCACTCAAATCCATTAAATCATTCGATGATGCATCCAGATGTTGGTGATGATGTTTGTCCAAAGCTGCCTGCAGCTCTGTGGTTTCGATGCGTAAACTCAACGGGTCGTTGGTCAGCAGCTGTTGATGGTGATGATGCTGCTGGCGCCTTTGACAATTAGAAACCGTTGTTATGCCAGTGCTCTCCTCATCTGTGGGTGTATGTTCCATTGGCGTTACCGCCAGGCTACTGCAGCCGGAGGAAGTAATCTGCATACGCGCCAGACCCACATGTTCGTTGAGATTACACAGATTCGATGAGGATGATGACGAGGATGTGGGAATGTTTGCGGCCGTGGTTACGCCCAATTGCTGCTGTTGCCTTAGATCTTTGTGAAGATCAGCCAACGGCATGGTGGCGTTGAACGTAAACTGCTGGGAGGCTAACGTGATGGCTGTTTTCTATTTGCAAGGTTGCTCGTATCAAGGAAATGTCAAATGGAAACGAAGACAATCCAAACAGAACAGTAAACGCTAGTATTTTTGCAATGTGTTGTTTTTTTGTTCCGACTGCGACGGTAGCACACAGAAAACAATAGAAACAAACAGACAACAGCGACGCGACCGACCACCGAATGTATGAAAGATTGACCTCCACCAACCAGACCAAAAGGCGTAGGCGAGCGTGACTGGCCTTCAGTGGAAAAACATTAACGAAACGCGTTTATTTCCTTCGTCCAGCTTTACGGGCTAAGCTGTTGCACGATTATCCAATGGATTTTAAACTTTTATTCTCTTTTTGTCACAACGACCAGCGTAATTGTTAAAGAATTTCGTTTTACTTAAAAAAACACAATAACTCTCCTTGGCTGCTTGCAATCTTCATTACTGTGTATTTTTTCACTTATTGATGTTGCTCGCACAAACACACACGCACACAAGAACACAAACTTGACAATTGTCAAGTATGACAATGGCTGGTTGGTGTAGTTAGTGAGTAAGCGCAAGTATCGTATAATTACGGCAACTATACGTTACTTACGGCAATAGCTATCAACAGAAACAGCTGGTATTTGGAAATTGCAAAGACCAAATGCAGAGTTGTATTGCCGCAATTGTTGAGTGTTGCCAACCACCATTGCCATTTCAAACGACTGCAAAGGGGGTCAGTTACGTGTTGTGCATAAACATTTACAATTAAATTTACTTGAGTTTTTTTTTTCATTTCTTTTTTGTTTTTGTTTCTTATTATTATTGCAAATAGTTGTTGACACTTACCTTGAACACATTTGCAGTGCACAGCGGTAGACGGAAACAACACTAACAACAAAATGTAGAAATAAAGTGAAAATCAGTCCAGATGCAGCGGAAATTTCACTTTTGGCATTCAATAAATCGAACTGTAAGAAAATAAATAGAAAAGAGAAAGAGAGAATAGATTGTTAAAAGGCAAAAAAAAAGTATTTTCGGAGACATTGCAAGACAATTTTTGGAAAAATTGTCAATCATTTAATACAATTTCTGATAAAAGGGGTTTCTTTTCCGAGAGATTGAGTGAAGAGGCTGTGTCAGAAGTATGGGCTCGCAGTCAAGAGACCTTGAAGTCGCCGACATGTTAAAAACCCCTTTTTGGTATTTAAACAGAACATAGGGCGACTCTTCAGGAAGATGTCCAAAGGTGGTGGTACAACAAACCGCGATGCAAGTTATCAAAACAAGTCTGGCCAGATATCTGCTCGAGCAGAACTTAATATCTATTAAGCATGAATAAACAATAGGGGTAGTAACAGACCATTGCAACATCCGATCAAGAACGTCCAATTGGGATAACTCTAACGTCGAAGACTGCAGACTGTGTGAGGATGAAGGACATTTTAAAGCTTGATCAGCTGAGTTTTAAATATCTGTTTTGTAAGGATCAACTTTAAATTGTTATGCGTAAAATAAAATATTCCAATTATTTTTTAGATAACAAGCATTTAGGAGTGTAGAATGCCCTTCACCACAGAAAGAAGGGCATTAAAAATTTGTCATTCCGTTTGTAACTCCTCCAAATATTCGTTGGAAAAAATGAATATATATTCGCTATGGAAGTCGATGTGAGCATATCTGCCTTGTTGTAATCAATATACCACATATTTTTGGCGTAGAGCTTTAGAATTTGGAATTTTTGAAATGAGGACCAAGAAACCGCATTTGTGATTCGCTTTAAGGTAACAATTTTAAAACTTTTACTACATTGACAACCACAAAGGACTATTGTTATCGAGTTCATAACTCACCTTTTCCTTCGATTGATTCACATCACGTGACAGACCAACACCCGAAATAGCCAATGCCAATGTGCTCGTTGCAATGCAAACCAAACTCAAGGCCAAAAACGAAGTTTGTGTCTTCCTTAAGCCCACAACACCTAATGATCCTGTTACGGCTGCTATCAGACCTGTCCATATGCCACAGCCAGCTGTGGATAGAGCTGCCTCACGGACAATCAGTAAAGAGCCCAAGGCCACCAATGAAATGGCCAGCAGCAGTTGTAGAAGACCCAAAATAATTTGTACTGGAAATGCCGAACAACAAGCGGTACTACTTTTGAGCTTGGATGACGATGACTTCTTCTTTTTCAATGATTTGGAAGATTTCACCGAACTCCGATCATCTTTGATGAGTTCTGGGGGAAATCTTTGTTTTTTACTGATTCTGGAATCGAGTGTTGCCGCTCGGGATGCAATGGTTTCCTGTAGCTGTTGTTTGAACTCTTCGTGGGATATCAATTTGGGTTTCTTTAAACTGTCATTCTTTACCGTGTCCACCAAGGTGGCAGCTGTTAATTTTAAGGGCTGTGGTGGTTTTTCATCATAAACTGGACTGGAGTAAATGTGACTTTGGGCATCCATGGGCTTGGACGTTTTATTGTTGTTGGAATTGGAATTATTTTGTTGTTGCTGCTGATGCTGCGAATTTTGCATTAATTCATCATCACTTCCGTTGGTAGTTTGTTGTTGCAACATGGCTATTTCGGAATTGGTTAGACTGTTGTGATTGTGTTGATGTTGCATATTTGTGGTGTTGGTGCTCTGTTCAATTGCGGTCTGCATCATTTCCTCATGGCTAGTATTGTTCAAAGAAGAAGCAGAAGCATTTACATTGCCACCCATAGCCACAGCAATATTGCCCATGCTGTTGTTGTTGCTGCTGTTGCTGTGGTGGGTTGCTCGATCAACTATGGTGTCCATGCTGCCCGTCGTTGAGTCATGTGAGTCAATCGTGCGTGCCGGCGATTCAGATTGCCGGTTTATATCACCCTGATTAGTTGTGGTGATGATGGAGTGATTACCATTTGCCTCGTTCATGTTGGTGGCGTTGGTGTGAAGCTGTGTGTTTATCTGGTCCGACTATGAGCAATGCTGTTTAGTTTGTTGTTGTTGTTATTGTTGTCTAATGCAGGAAGAGAGTTTTGCGGTCAATGATATTTTATTTTATTTGGCACGGATCAAATGATTGTTACTATTTTTTTTGCTTTGTTATGGATGGGGGGAGTATTGGAATCGGCCGGTTGATTTAACCATTGATACGTGTGCGGTAATTTAAGACATTCGATTTCCTGGAAAAACGGAAGAAAAAGAGAAAATGCGAATGAGTATTAGGGAAAAAAAATAATGCGAATATGAAGTGTTAAAAATATCAAAAGAAAATCCTCAACATTGAAATATTATTTAAAAATATTTCTAAAAAATACACGACATCGAAATGTAATTGAAAAATATTATCGAAATATTCTAAAAAAATATTTTAAAAATCCACATCGAAATTCTATTGAAAAATGGTTGAAAAAACCATAACATCAAAATATTATTGAAAAATATTAAAATAAAATTCATGACATCGAAATGTTGTTGAATCGAAATATTATTAAAAAATATTTTTTAAAAAATCCACGACCTCGAAAAATTGTAGAAAATATTTTTTAAAAAATCCACCACATCGAAATAATTTTGAAAAATATTTAAAAAAAACCCAATATCGAAATATTGTTGAAAACATCCACAAAATCAAACTATTGTTGGAAACTATTTAAAAAAAATCCACTACCCCTAAAGATTTTAGGAAAAATGTATTAAAAATATATTCCGTATTGGGAAAACTTCGCATAAAAAAATTATTTTTTTTTCTAAATTTAGTTAGAGGCGAAAAGACCCAAAAATATTGCAACTATTTCACATTTTTTTGTTTCTAAAATTTATTTGACCTTTTTCGCCAATGATTGAACAATTTTTGTATCACAACTCTGGGCATTTATATAACACTTTGCAGAACAAATGTTGGCCATTAATTTGAAAACAAATCACCAAAAAAAAAAAAAAAAAACAGAACGTTATCTTGTTAGTCTTTAGACAATTTACAATAGCCTGTCAAAATATGCCGGCAATCAGATTTCTTAATACCTGCAACAAATCAATAATAATAGCCACTCTATAGGCTTTGTTGTTGAAAAAAAAAAACACACAACTGTCATAACAAGACAAGTATCGAAAATGATTATTGTGAATATCATATCATGAAATTGCAGAATTTATAAGAGCCAAGGGCATTCTAACATTTTTTTCGGAATGAAAATACAGAAAACTTTAACATAAAATATGGGAATAGGGTTTTGTTTTTATCAACCTCTCTATAAGAGAGACCCACAAATGATTTTATTTTTTTTTTTTTTTTTTTTTTGAAAATATTCTTAAAATTTTATAAATCGGCTTCCTTAAACTCATATAATTTTTATTTTACAACTGATTACCTTCCAGTTTAACCTAAACCATCGTCTATTACTTCGCTGCGACATATCGAAATTTGAAGTGAATTGTACCATGTCGGCACACTTTGCAATCTACCTTTTAAAATTCTAAATTAACAATTACATCAAGTTGAGCTTCAAATTTGTCACGACTTATCGCATGATCCTCGTTTCATCATTCCATCAAAAGTGGCATTTGACTTAGAATGGTAACAAAAGCAAGAAAAAAACAATTGAACCTGGTTTTAACGAATATCAAAAAAAAAAAGTTCCCTGAAAAATAGTACGAAAAGTACTATATACTATTAATTTTGGTATATGATGGAAGGAATATAACAATACGTGTACCAAAGGTGCTAAAATGCAGAATGGGTAGGGTTAAGATAAAGACTTGACTTAGGATATGCGTAAAGAGTTGTCTTTGGAAAGCATGCGAAAGGTACTACATGTTATTAAATTTGGTATTGCATGAACAGTACGTACTTTTGTACGGTTTCCTTGATACATGGAGGGGGACTTTGAAATATGTACCAATAAAGTAGTAGTATTAAAATGTACTAAAAATTGAATACTTTGTATTGGACAAACGGAATAATGTAGAATTCTGAAATTTGGAATAAGAGTCACTGATAGAGTGCAGGATAGATCTTCCAAAGTTTTTTTGGAAATTCGAACTTTAAGATTACGAAAAGTTCTAAAATGGTACTAAACCTCAAAAATAGTACAATTTCCTATTAATTGAACGGAAAGAGCTAAAAACTTGAAATTTGGTATGAGAATCAAATTTGGAAAGTAAGTTCGTATATTGAGGCGGATTTCACAATGTGAGCTAAGTGTGGGAACTGTACTAAATGGTACTAAATTTTGAACAGTTTGGTTTAGGATGAACGGATGAAGCTGGAATTTTAAAATTTTGCTTTGGGTTCCCCTTTGGTGGTAGGTTTGTGATAAAGAGGTGGTTTTGGAAATGTGTACTAAAAGTTCACGAAAAGTACTAAATAGTACTATATTTGGTACAATTTGGTATTGTGTGAACAGATAGTGCTTGAAATCTTAAATTTGGTACTAGGGTCGCTTTCCATGTGTAGCCTGAATATATAGAGGTGATTTCGGTATTGTGTACTATAATTGTACGAAAAGTACTGAATGGTACTATATTTGGTATTAAGTCAAGGGAGAGAGAAAAAATTTTAAAATTTGATATTTAGATTACCGATGGTATCTGTGTTTGAGACTTGGCGGTGGGTTTTAAATGTGTTCTATAATTGTACGAAAAGTACTAATTGTTCTAAATTTGGGATTGGGTGAAGGTATATGATATATTTAGAATTCCGAAATTTAAAAAAGAGCTCTCTATTGGTATCTGGATCTGAGATATGGAGATGGTTTTGGAAATGAGTAGCATAATTGTACGAAAAGTACTAAATGGTACTAAATTTGTTATTGAGTGAAGGGATAGAACTGGAATCCTCAAATTTGATATTAAAGCCTATGTTGGTATATGGAGTTGAGATATGGAGATGGATTTGAAAATGTGTACCGTAATTGTACGAAAAGTAATAAGTAGTACTAAATTTTGGCATTGGGTGAGGGGATATATCTAGAATTCCGAATTTTAATAAAGAGCTCTCTGTTGGTATGTTGAATTGAGATATGGCGATGGTTTTGGAAATGTATACCATAATGGTTCGAAAAGTACTAAATGGTACTAAATTTGGTATTAGTTAGGATAGGATAAATTACGGAAATTTATTATTTAGATATATGTTGGTATCTGTGATTAAGATTTGGATATAGGTTTGGGAATGTGTGCTATAATTTTACGAAAAGTACTAATTGGTACTTAAATTGATAATAGATGAAGGGATATGTCTAGAATTTCGAAATTTGATATAGAGCTGTCTGTTTGTATCTGGAACTGATATGTGGCGATGGTTTTGGAAACGTATACCAAAATTGTACGAAAAGCAATAAATAGTACTAAATTTTGTATTGGTGAAAGGATAGAATTGGTATTCTAAAATTTGATATTGAGGGTCTGTTGGTATCTGAAATTGAGTAATAGAGATGGTTTTGAAAATGTGTACCATAATTGTACAAAAAATACTAAGTAGTACTAAATTTGGTATTGGATGAGGGGATATATCTAAAATTCCGAAATTTTATAAAGAGCACTCTGTTGGTATCTGGAATTGAGGAAAGGGGAAGGTTTTGCAAATGGTACCTTATTTGTACTAAGTGTTCTAAGAAGTACTAAATAAAGTTGAAGGGATATGGATAAAATTCTGAAATTTAATATTTAGATCATTGTTGGTATCTGAGATTGTGGGTCCGGAAAAAATCGAAACACGAACTTTTTGCTTTTGAGATTTGTACAATTCTTTGGACCCCGTTATTCTTTAAGTTTTACCATTTATTTTTTCATTTCCAGAACTATTCGATGTTACTCGACTTTTACAGTTGTCTTGGTTATCTTCAACTAGGACCGGAACCTTGTTATATATATAACCAATTCTTTATAAACTTACCCCACTGTATACATTTGCCCATTCATGTAAAGAGAATACTCTTTAGGTATGTTCTTATTTTCGTTTCGTTTTTGCGGTTCACATGTTTCCATTTCAATTATTTGCAATTATTTTGACAAACGAACAAAAAAAATTGTCAGAATAACAAAACCAAGTGCGGAATTACACAAGACACCAACAATCCAATCCAATTCACTTTGGAAACCACCACGACATTCTGTGTTACCAAAAAGACAAAATTCTCATAAAGCAGTCAGTCAGTCAGTCAGCCATTTTGGAGTCAAAAAGTCTACTTTGTTTTTGTTTTAGAATGTTGTTTTCTTTCTCGACAGTTTGGAACAATTGTTTTGTCATTTGCCAGTTGTCATTCACTTGGAAGGAACTTTACACAGGCCAAGATGCCATTGTTGTAGCTATTTTTTTGAGATCTAATCTGAAACGATTATGTTATGATTAATGATTAAAAATTCAAAGAAAAAACAAAAGATATTGGAAAAAGGCCAATTTGACAAGCGACAAGTTTGGCATTTTTTTCTTGTGATAATAAAAAACAACAAAAGAAGTTTCAAAGAATAGTAGACAATTATATAATAATTGGATAACGAGCAGTAATCATCATGGCTGGCGTTACAAACTATGTATGAGAACTCTATTGAAAGGTGCTTTGCTTGAGGTTATCTCAAAATTTGATAATGATATCATAAATCATTTATTTATTTTTTAAAGTAAAAGGGATTAGTTGGGAACTTTACAATTGAGTTGTTGGCAGATAATGCTATTGATTTGGAATTGAGATAATGGAAACAAATATTTAGAATTAAAATAAATGAACAAGTTGGCGCCCAACGTGACTCAGCTAGGAGTCTATTTTACTTCTCAAAAATTCTTTTAAAATTCCAGGCCTATGGCAAATATGGCCTTTTCAAAAATTCCTTAAAAAATGCAGGCCTATTGGACAGATGGACCTTTTTAAAAATTCTTTAAAAAATTCTCGCCTATTGGACAGATGGACCTTTTTAAAAATTCTTTAAAAAATCCTCGCCTATTGGACAGATGGACCTTTTTAAAAATTATTTAAAAAATCCTCGCCTATTGAATAGATGGACCTTTTTAAAAATTCTTTAAAAAATCCTCGCATATTGGACAGATGGACCTTTTTAAAAATTCTTTAAAAAATCCTCGCCTATTGGACAGATGGACCTTTTTAAAAATTCTTTAAGAAATCCTCGCCTATTGGACAGATGGACCTTTTTAAAAATTCTTTAAAAAATCCTCGCCTATTGGACA